GCGGCTGTCATTGAGATTAACACTGGATTAACACTATTATAAACATAGCAGTTTCTCTGAAACTATGTTTTTATTTAAAAAAAAAAAAAGGGGGGGGTTAACCCTAGCTGGACCTGGCACCCAGACCACTTCATTAAGATGAAGTGGTCTGGGTGCCTATAGTGGTCCTTTTAAGAGGTTATACCATTTCCCAACATTTTATCTTCAAAGTTGTGAAGACAGCACCTTTCCACTCAGCCCCCTGGTTTCGGGTTATGTCTAAGGCTTTTAACGACAAAACCTCAGAGTATCCAAGAGCCAGCTATCACTAACTTCCCATTCACAAAACTGTGTGAGAAAGGTATGTGCTGTCTTCACAATTTTGGTGTCAAACTGTTTGTAAATGTTTTAACTCCATAAGATAAGACCGCACCCGTGACGTCTCAACACCATAACAACTTTGTTGAGATGAAGTTATTATGGTGCCTGGATTGGTATAGGCATTCAGGAAACTTTCCTTATTGCAAGTTGCTGATTGTGTCGTGAAAGTTTCTTTAGTGTTTCCTGATTTATTTCTTTGAATATAGCACATTTAATTTATATACCACATTTGTGTATCTAGTAAGCTATTATTTTGTTTCCTGTGAAATCTTTGACTCTGTGAGGTCAGGAAAACAGATTAAAATACACAGTCTGTGTTCTCCTTAATCTCTGAAGTCCGTCTCGGCCAGGTTCAGACTGACTCATGCAGTCAGTGTTGTGTAAAGCATTGTGACCCATATACAGGACAAATAATCCAGGAGTCGCTGGCTTTTAAGTGCATCAATCTGAAATGAACCAATAGAGCACAAACAAAGCGCAACATATATATTTTCAAACCATTAAAACTGGTTAATACTCGGCATGGTTATCTAAAATCCCTGAGACTGTGTTCACTTTCATGATCTGCGTCTGGATCTAACCAAGTATAAAAACATTACTCACGTTGCTGGCAATAGATGGTCTTTGGAAAGCACATCCTATATTGCAAAGGATACCAGAGGTCTTTCCCCACTAGCTTGCTTCCCAATTATGTCTTTGATTACATTGAGGTTTTAAACTGCAGGGCCACCGTTGACCTGATTCATCCCCTGAATATTTAATGTTTTACAAACTATACTTTTGCTTTATTTAACATACCTGATTGAAGACCTTTTTATTCTTTTAGATGTTTATGCCATGGCACAACCCATTTTCTGTCACTGGAGTCCTGCAATAGACACATATTAGCTGAAAGCTGAAAAATCAGGACATGATTTCTAAACTGCCACCACTCCCTCATTTTCAAGCCCACCTACACAAATCTTATATCAAAATGTTCAGCTATCCCTGCTGCCACTAAACATGTCCACGGCTAAGCCATAGTCCTGATAGTTTTCACAATATGACCATTTGTTTGCAACCCACGCCGTCCATTGACATTCATTGAAACTCCACTCCAGCCAGCTTAAATTTGAAGGGCAATTTCTAAACTGCGACTGTGCCTTCATTTCTAATACATCAGAGGCATACTATGCATCAAAGTCTGGGTCTTGTTATTCTCACAATATAAAGCTCTTCGCTGTAGGATTTATGGTTTTTAAAATACGACCGTTTTGAAGATGGCAACCGCCAAAATACTCTGACCTGTGCCAGGCTGGAGCAGCAAGTGATGTCATAGACAGGGCCTTTTGTACACCTGCTAATGTTTTTATAAATGTATGTTTTAATGTAACTGTGAAGCACTTTAGGCAACAACGTTGCAATTAAATGTGCTATATAAATAAATAACAGTTACTCCTCCCACTCCAGTTGTAGACTACTGGTGGAGGCAAGAACACTTCACACAATTTCCCCAGAAATTGTAGCTTTTCTAGGTGGTCTTGCTATGCAAGAACACTGAAATGCTCAAGCAATGATTCTGTTTACAGTTTTTACATCTGAATCTCATCCACATTCTGCTGGCCCTGAAAGTTGTATTCTTGTGTGTTCACAGCACATCTTGGGGCCAGTAGTTAGTGATGTGCCGAACGGTTCGCCGCGGACGGCGAACATATGACCCTGTACCTCACAGTCAGCAGACACATTCCAGCCAATCAGCAGCAGACCCTCCCTCCCACCTCCTGGACAGCATCCATTTTGAAGCTGCATTCTTAGTGAGCTGTCCAGGAGGTGGGAGGGTCTGCTGACTGTGAGGTACAGGGTCAAATGTCCGCAGCGAACCGTTCGGGACATCACTACCAGTAGTGCTTGTTATATGTAAATTCTTCTAAAAAGTTATGGTAAACTTAACCAGCTCTCCTTAATTTTGCCATAAATGTTGGACTATCACAAGAATTACTATCTGTTCTGGAATAGATCTCTTTAAAAAGGTATGTAGGATAGATTGTATGTTTGGTAGAGTTAACATTGAAAACCGATCTATAGCTAGATTATACAATTTCAGTCTGTGGTGGGGGTGGTCCGTCTGGATTAATGACCCCTGCAATTATACAGATGATATTGGGCTTCAGAGTGTACATGGCAGATTGAATCCAGGTAGTCATCTCTTATTGTGCTTGTAAGTGTGTGCACGCTCATACAAAATGAGATATTTGTTATCACTTCTAAATATTCACACAATTTCTCAAAGAATTAAAAAGACTGTAATTCATTGGTTAATACAGATAAGTTAGTCATAGTTGCATTAAAATACAGAAAAGAAAATACTGTAACCGTGAATGATTTACTTGAAGGGTAAAAAGATGAATAGAAAAATACGTTACAGCGTAACTTCACAAGAGAATATAAACAGCCTCATCAAGGTTTATTTTAAGAACCTGTTGCAGATTATTTAATCTCAGTAAGCATCGCCTATGTATTTGACCTAGGTGCAAGCTGTGAAGGAGCTCTCATTTAGGCCAAGGTAACAGTGCCTTTTACAGGTGTCAGAAGCATTAGAAGTATAAGGAAGAAGAGAAAAAATAATTGACAACAGGAAATGTGAAAGAGGAAGGGGAAAAAATTTAATAAAAGGGGCAGTTGTAGCGGGAGGGAACAAAGGTTAATGTAGCGGAGAGGTAGTATAATCCACAGTATCAACACTGGGTAACAGGAACAGCATTAAATAATCCAGATAAATACAGCATACAATAATCCCGGTAGTGTTGTAAGAATTCTTCCCTCCCAAGAGCTAGATGACACATAGGCTGGGAGTCAACACAGGTTTTATTCACAGGTCACAGTATTTATGGGATTCCCCATGCAAGGGGTTTCCTTACTGACATTCCAGGGGTTGTACAGTAGGGGACTACATGGGGGACTTGGCAACCTGGACATTTCTCCCATCATGCACTGCTGGACGAGAGGGATACTCCCACTAGAACCAATGCAGCAGAACCAATATTTCACATTAAAATATATAACTTTCACATTATTCACTCTATTTAAACGAATGGACGTTCGGTAGATAGCTAGGGTCTGAGCGAACAGTTCGTGAGAATACCGCTCAGATCCCAGCATAACTAACTGAACGACGCACGAAATACACATTATTTCCTAGTTGCATTTAAAACACAGATTGACTGTAAGGGAATAACCTGCCGAATGACTGGGGCTCCCGAACGGCCTGGAAGTCCAGCGGTATTCGTGCCGTCGAGTAGCCGGTTTTAGTTCCAGGTGTTCGACCAAATACCGCTGGGCTAACAAAGGATCCAAGATGGCCGACGGTAGCCGAACGACAGCCATCTAGGAAAACACTTAACTACCGATTGCAACAATGTTGCAATCGGTTAATGGGCGCCACACGACCTCCTGTGTGTGGTCGCCCATTCGGTAGTTTATTCATGTCACGAAGAGTGTTGAAACTCACTGTTCGTGAAACTACTGTATGTATGCTGGTGGCTTTCATGCCGCCAGCATACGAATGCTCTTGTTCGCATGAAATACACTATGTCTGAATACACTTGGTTCTAACAACCTTAAAGCTATAGCAACACATTAATGCAAATACAGTCATAAGTGGCTAGTTTTGCCACAGTTAACATTGCATGAACCCGCAGTATCGGTTATGCATAACACTGCGGGATATGTTTTATGCTATTTTAGAGTCTCCCGTGTAGAGGTCCTTCTGGTCCCAACGGCACCCCATCATTTGTTCCAGCTCCCCTGGGCCCCTCCATCTGATGATTCAGACACTGGCTCCTCAGGTATCTAGCACTATCCAAGGAGGAGAGGTACTACAGGCAGTGGAACCACTTTCGCTTGTGTCGCTCCCTTGTCCTGGCCACAAGATCCTCACTCTGTCATTGACTTCCTTTATAAATCTATCTATTGGGGGTTGTACACTGTCGAAACCAATATAGTGGGATGACTGCTTTAGCTGCATTAAGCAATTATGGAACCTCCAAGCATTTGTATGTTATGGCTGATTATGGAGTATAATGTAACAGAAGATACCAAAATGATACTGCACTCATGATTGCGGTATCATTATGGTATCTTCTATTATATGGTGGGTCTTTAGGGGTGACCCAGATACCTGCACCAAAGGTGTGATTGAGTGCTAGCCCCTCTTATATCTCCTCACAAATCCATAGGTATGTCCCTTCTCGGTCTCTCCGCTCTGCCCATGACCACCTCCTGTCCATTGTCCGCACCCGTATGGCCAACTCACGCTTGCATGACTTCTCGCGGGCGGCTCCCTTACTATGGAATAGCCTGCCTACCGCCATCAGATTCTCCCCTAGTCTTGCATATTTTAAGAAGTGCCTTAAAACCCATCTCTTTAGGAAAGCTTATGGACTCCAAGACTAACCTCTACCTCACATACCTGTCTCTTGCTCTCTCCTAAAAGGCAGCCCACCTTATTTGACTGCAAATTCCTGTCCTAATGTGTTTTACACCCCACCACCCATAGACTGTAAACTCGATTGAGCAGGGTCCTCTTCAACCTATTGTTCCGGTAAGTTTTTTGTAATTGTCCTATTTATAGTTAAATCCCCCTCTCTTATTGTATTGTAAAGCACTACGGAATCTGTTGGCGCTATATTGATGATGATGATGATGATGATGATAATAATAAAGTACCATTGAATGTTTTGGTATGATGTAATAACATTACTACTGGAGCAAATACAGGCATGTCATCACAGTGTATGGCACCTTCCAAAACTTTTCAAGTGGAGTGCAGCTCCACCATAAGTGTAATAGGATGGCCTCTGCCTCTCCTGCGCCACCCATGCGAGGAGGTCGACAGACCTTGTGTATGTGGGGTCAGAGCGATTGGGGTCTGGTACCATGGGGTACAGGTTTTGCGTGAAACTTCTTGGAGTGTTGCCGATAATGTGATTTCATGGATTAACGTAAAGACTTTAGTCTAGTCATCATCCGATAGTGTTATCTAGAGTTCATCTTCCCATTTGTTCGTACAAGGTGGGGGATGATGATCTCTCTCGTTGACTAACATTATAAATACTGGAAAGGCATCAAATTAAGGGCAACACTGACTCGCAATATGATGCAAATGTTGTAAGCTCTCAAGTGAAACTTCTTCACTGAGGGATAAAATGTAGATCATGTAAAGTCTGAGCATGGATGAGTATGTGGAGGAACCTATTGGTCGTGTTCAGAAACATGTCTGAAAGAGGTATCACAGACTTAGTATACTGCCACGCTTTTCCTGCCATAAGAAGAAGTTTGAGTGGTCCATGCATCCCCACAGGAAACTATGGGTTATCCCATAGAGGTAACATTGGGCCCGGGTCTTTGGTCAGGAAGTACACGGCACATTCTAGGGCTCCATCTGTGCCACAGCAACAGTGTCTCTCAAACATACGAGTTAGGACAGGTTAGTCATCTTCCGCACTACTCCCGGAACCATTGATGAGCCGTTAAATCAATCAAGATGATTGCTTCTCCAGTGAGTCCCAGAGTTTGGTTTTGTTCCAGTGGCACCATTGAAGAACCTGCGAAAGGTGTGCTGCCACGTAGTACTTCTTAAAGTTGGGTAACACTGAGCTAGATCCCCAAGTATGTGGCAGCCATACAACAACAAAAATATTTAATTACAGGTATGACAGACACTAGTTGAGCAAAAAACAAAACAAAAGGACTTTACAATTAATCATAATCAATATTACATGCTAGCAAAGAATGTGTACAGTAGGAGGTCACTTCAATTACAAAGAACTACCAAGGATGTATTGCAGTGAAAGGGAAGCCTCAGAGGCGGCAGCCAGTAAAAATCATCTGAGGCAGGGCACGGCCAAACTAAAGCTCGCTAGCACAGGTTGGCGAAACCAACTCTGCTGGTGCTGATCTCATTGAACTGGACACATAGCACATCTACAGTATGGAGAGAGGTAAAAAACATGCCTCAGAGTGCATATTTTTTGTTAGATCATTCACGATAACACAAAATGCCAACATTTACAATAATTCATTTTAATTGTATGGTTTTAAAGGGTTTTACCTTGAAGCCAATTATTCTGCTTTTTAAACATTAGTCAATGATGATATTGATTTTTGAGAACTTTCCAAAGACCGGTGCACCCACTTTGTATAATGACTGAGAGTCCTCTCCCTGTTTCGAACTATTGCTAGATTTTACTGTTTTATACTCTAAATCTGTCTTTTTATGTATTGCTATTCATTCAGTCTGTCCCAGCCCTTTAAATGAAGGTCTGTCTTTCATGTCATGGCTTCCTGTACTAATGTTCTGCATGGCCGTTTAGTTATGCTTAATACTGCTGTGTTGTGTAGGTGTTGCGTGTGGTATGGCAGGACGGCTTCAACCATATGACAGTAACGCCAGTGATCCAGAGAACGGGGATCAGAAATGTTATAGTAGACCTTGCAAACTATATAAGCATTCAAGGTAGGTACCCCAGATCTGTGTACATCAGTCCACTATGCTTCCATGTCATTACCACTTTGCCAGCCTGCTTGAATTACTGAATGGAACTTTGATTGTCCTATGGATCTGGGGTCGTTACTGTAGGAAACACGTTGCAGCTCTTCAGAAATGTGTCCAGTCTTAAAGGAACATGTATCCCTGACCCTATAGTGTTAAAAATACCATCTGACCCCCCTAAATATAGTAAAATCTTACCTTTATTCAAGTCTGCTGGCTCTACCCCGATCTGCCTCCTTGGCTGACATTAAAAGTGATATCAGCCAATCACAATGCTTTCCCATAAGAAAGCATTGAATTGGCTGAGATGATCAATTCTGATGATCTCCACCAAGGAGGCGGGCTGAAGGGGCTGAGCCAAACACCACCCTTGCCAATCAGCATCTCCTCATAGATATGCATTGAATTATGATACAAAACAAAAGCACCAAATTTGATGTTTGCGTGATATATCAAAAAAATTTATCACATGATTTTTCTATAGATCCATCCTGTAACTGAAGGTCCAATTGGCTGAGGGTGTGTTGCCTAGTGGTCCCTAAGATTGGGTATATGGTGCTTAAAGGTCATAAAAACTTAAATTAGAACATTCTTTATGGAGATGTATGTAAACACTCTAAGCACCAAAATCATTACAGTTTATTGTACTTCTTATTTTAGTGGTTAAGGTACTACCGCTGCTCCAATCTGATCAGGATGTTCATTTCTTTATTCTATATAAAAACCTGGACAGCAGTGATACCAGGTGAGCATTAAAGTCTGCATATCCCAGCACACAGAGTCTATTATTGTTGAACAGATAATGAGAATGTGACGTTCCTTGTTACAATGGTGGCAGTGAATGCTGGGAATGCCCTGTTTTTGTTTTCTTCCAGACCACTTACTCCACTCAAGAACTCCTGCATATATAAGTGCTCTAAAAAGCTCTGGTGGTGCTAGTTACAGTGTCTCACACTTGAAATTTTCTTCTGTTCTATTCGATTTTTTTTTTTTTGATTTTTTTTTTTTTGATTTTTTTGTACCATAGAAAGGAATGGCATTTAGTTTAATCATCATATGTGCATGTGAGATGTCACAGAATAGATGAGCAAACTAGGTAATTGGGGAAATAAGTCTTTGAACTATTAAGATGACAGTTTACATATAAAGTAAGCAGTTACTCTTCTAGCTGCCTTTAATCTGATACAGTTGTGATCATTAAATGTCATTAACACTTGTGATTTTCATGGGATTAATTGTGATGTACATAAATGGGCACTGCGAAACGGTCCATGACTGTGTTTAAATGAAATATTAATTAGTTGAGGTTCTCTTTACCAGTAACCTACCTAATAGAGTATTGCATTATTTATGTTGTCTTTAACTTGTTTGGTATTATTTCCCAAGAAGTGAAGCCTTGTTATAAATTTTAAACTTGTCATTGGAGCTGTAGGAAGGAAGAAATGGCTACCTTAAAAAGTGACACATTATAAATATTTATTTTAACCTTTAATCTGCCAGGGTTCCACGTCAGTGACACATTATAAATATTTATTTTAACCTTTAATCTGCCAGGGTTCCACGTCAGTGTTGTACTCTCACACTTGCTCAAGAGCACAACACTGAGGTGTATGGATGAATCTGTGAGACAGCAGGATCCTCCATACAGTGGCAAAACTTGACGGCAGAAGCTCCACCTTTTGTCAAGGTTAGGAAATATTACCAAAATTGTCAATGTGAGTATTTCGGAAAGATTTTGTCTTGCGGTGTCAGATCCTCTTTAAGGGAAGTGTATCAAAGATTGAGTGGGACTGCTGGTTAACATGAAACAAGCCTGTACACAGCTGCTAATGTTTTGTCCACAGCCATGTGCCATGTTTTGCTGTCAAAGTTTGCACCCTCTCCCAGGGATGTACATGGCGCTTATGTGAATTTGAAGACAATGGAGGAAGTAAAAGCTTCCTCCCTTGAGATCAGAGGCAGTCTTATAGGTGCAGTGATTTGTTTTACTCTCCTGTGGTTATAATACACTGTTTGTTGAGAAACCGTGACGTGTCCTTCTTGCACCATAACCCATGCAATGAGCATTGTGCTTTGAGTGGCACTTTATATGTTGCCATGAGGTGCCCTGTAAGAATTAAAGCAGAGCTGTTAAAGATCTGGGATCTTTGCCTTTGCATATTTAGGAAAGTCACCTGAAGGGGATATATCTGGTTATGGTCTGCTGGCAGTCAAAGGTAAGTATACGTGAAGCTGTTTATCTCAGCTGATGCCCTCTTTATCCTCGGGGACTCTTTTTAGTTCCTGGTGCTTCATTTGTCAGTAGCCATGTCAGTACTGTACGTTTGTGCATGCGCAAGAGTATAACGCTAAAATCTGTGGGAGAGACCACTAGAGCCTCCGTAGTTCCATGCCTGAATTCCACAGCCCGGACAGCTGCTGGGATTGAAGAAAAGTTGACAGCAGAGCTCCATCATTTGTCAACCTTAGCCTTGCCCATAGGACAAACTAGACCCTACTTTGTCTTATGGTATCGTGCTAAAGCACTCGGCATTTACGATTTCATAAAGGTTATATCATTTTGATATACTGAGAAGGGACGGTGGTTAGAATGAGCCTCTAATGAGTGTAGAGCTGGTGCCTTCTGGATACCTTAACCTGTCATCGGCCAATCACAGAGCAGCAGTGTAAGATTAGCTAAATCAATCACAGCTCTGTAGTATGCACTGTTTGGTTACAAGATAATCTAAGATAAAAATGATGGGGGTGGGGGCTTACTTTGCTCCAGTGCTTTAAAAAAAAAAAAAAAAGTTACATTTACAAAAAGAATCTTATGTGTTCCCATGTGTAGTAGCAGTATTTTAAAGAGAGGGTATATTTTATCAGGGGGTCTTTGTATTTAGTTTATTTGTGATGCTTCCTGATAGAGCTCTGAAAGATAACTTGTACTTAACCCCTTAAGGACCAAACTTCTAGAATAAAAGGGAATCATGACATGTCACACATGTCATGTGCCCTTAAGGGGTTAAACTCTTCCTGTTCAATGTACCATTTTTAATACATAGAGTGGGCCATTAAGACTACAGTTTATTACAGAGGTCATGGTACTAGGATGCCTTAGGTGCCATTACTCCACTCATTTTTATTTATTTTTTGACCTACGATCTGCCCCCTATTCAGATGACAGATTGTAGGGCATCTGTTCAATTTCTCACAGAATACCTTGTGAAATCTTTACAATAGGAAAATTGTCAATATTCGGGATTTTTTTTTTTTTTTTTCATTGAAAAGTAGTTTTGTGTAATTAGGTTTAGGAGCAGCATCCTGAAATATGAAACAAAGTTCTCATTATTTAACGTCCTGGAACGTCTTTAATTGTAGTTTAGCTGGATGATTACTTTTTTGTTTCTAGCTTAGTTGCTTTTTACAGATGAAATCTGTGTCCCGTATGTGGTGATAAGTTTAAGTTTTGTATAACTGCCTTGAGTTGAATAATGAAGGCAAGAAATCACAATGTAGCTCAGCAATAAGAATTGCATTTATTGGCTTATTGTGCTGTATGGAGTATGTCGATGTGCGAGACCTGTATTTAGTGTCATGTTTGTCATCTTTCAAGTCTGTTGATTCTTAACATGTTTTCATAAAAGTAATCTCAGCAGACACCATTACGCTGCTTTCAAGGGCTTTGATGCAGGGCCTGTCTGAATTCCTGGATTAGACTTTGTGTAATAAAACAGTTCTTAATAGTACCTTTTTGTTTTTCTGTTAATTTGGTCAGCTGTTATATAAATAGATTGCAGCCACAGCCATTATCACCGATTTCACGCGTTAAACCTGAAAAGCTGGTAATCGCTTCCTATGGAGCGACTGTCTACCCCTCCCTTCCTCCCCTCCAGATTCTGCCTGTCACTGCAGGACACCCAATCGCTGCTCGTCGGCAGGAGTGCTTGTACAAAGCAGCTCGAATGAGGTGGCGTGTCTGGAGACGTCAGCCCTGATTCACTGATTGTGTGAAAATGATTTGTATTAATATCTGGAAGGTGCAGTGTCCTGACTGCCTGCCATTGTGGCACGAGGGTAAGAATGCTAGGTGGCCACATGTCGTCCTGCTCTCACTGAGCCTCAGCCAAGGTTTGGCAATGCTGTAACGCAGAAATGCTGAACTTTGCAAGTAATGCCCAGGGCTGCTTTCCAAACTGCCTCTTACTTCCTCTGTGATCTGATACCCAAGCTCTCTCTGTGTCTGTGTGCTGCAAGGTGCGTATCCATTGCTGAGGGAGGGGGCCTAATAAGCTAAATTAGAGGTGTACAAAAGGTGGAACCTCCTAACATGTTTAGCACTACAACTCCTACTATGCTTTGCCAGGCTGGAAAAAATTGAGTTCTACAAAGAATCAAGGTGTCTGTGTACCTTTTGTTCAGCCTTGCTCTAAGTTGATATAGGATCTTGGCAGGTGACTGGGCTTAGTGCCCCAAATGTTAGAATTTTTTAATTTTGTGTTTGGGAGTGCAAGCTCTTCAGGCTTGTCTGCAGATAATTTCAATGTAAAAAGTGTTTTGTTTTTTTCTCACCATTGCCCCTCTTTTTCTTTCATCGTCTCTAGTCACAGCACCCGTATTCGGAAATATCCTTTGTTCTCCGCGAGGTGTGTGATCAGAATAAATTGATGAGATTGTTAGTTTGTTAATCTCGGATGACTGGAAAGACATGCAGGGCATTGTCTAGTAATTCTCCTCATTGTTCTCTGCTGACTAAAGCTAGCCTAATATGATTTGAATCTCCTTCCTGTATCTGCATTTGTCAGGATCTTTTTAGCCCAGAAATTTGCTAGCAATAACCCCTTGTGTTCAGCTGTGCCTATTGTGAAGTGAATATCTTCTGTATGCACAGTATGTTTTAATCACTTAATAGCCTCTTGCTCATCTATTGTTTCACTTAGTGCTTGTGATAAAGGTCCTTTGTGTCTGTAATTGTGTCTGGACAGTGTCAAATGTTTAGTCTTGTTACTTAAGGTGCACTCCATGCTCTTTCCCTATGTGAACGGAGACACTACTTATAGCAGTCTTGGAAGGAGCTTTAAAATCCGTTTCTACAAAATAAGATGTTGATGGCAAATCTCCCTGTTATCCTAACAAGTCCATTGTTGCTACCTATAACTGGACTGTCAACCTTAATAACAAAACAAAAAAATTCTCTATAATCCGTATTTTGTTTTGCTGTCAAATGCATTCACTTTCTAGATTAATATAGCATTCAAATTGTTGGAGAGCAATGCAAAAATGAATTTAACCCTGTAAGCTCTACATACCTGTTCACTCAAGTGCTTGTCTTCACCTTAATCAGCTGTGTTCAGTCTCAATGCATAGTGAAGAGGAACTATAAAGCCACACTCTACTATTGAGGCGCATCTGTGGCTTAAAGTACTTTTTGTCTCCTTGCAGAGGTGAGGGTTTTAATTGGCAGACAACAAGGCTTCTTTGTAAACAAAGTAGCATTGTTCAAGACAGTGAATTGTATTTATATCTTTACATGATGATAAATAAATTTTTGTATGGTAGTTTTGCGTTCCCAAACATGCCATAAAGTTCCTCACAAATACATATTTTCACATATATCTATAATGTGTGTGTGTTTTTTGTCATACTGTATGTGCCGTAAATGGTATGTCTGCTTCCATTCTTGCATTTCATACTATGTGAATTATTGCAGGCTGACGGATTTCAAATATTCCCTCAATATTTCTGTAAAAACCCCAAACATTTGAATTGTGTAAATATTCAGAATTTGAAATGTTTAGGTATCTCTAAAATGGCAGTTTTGTGCAAAATAATGTGCTCTTCATATCGGGTTTGAAATGTTTTTCTATTTAAAAAAAAAAAATTAAAAAAAATGAATATATATATTTTCATTCTCCAAAAATGGCATTTTAGCAAACAAATTTTATGATTCATCTATATTCACTTACTCTTCTGTAGCATTTAGCCAGGTGCATTCATGGCAAATCTAATCTGCTACTTGTGTTTTTGCAGCACCCCATCACGTCCTAGATCAGGAACAAGTAACACAAAAATGAATCCACACGGCGCCAGTGGAGGTCACGAACGTTCAAGAGATAGACGTCGTTCAAGTGACCGATCTCGGGATTCATCCCATGAAAGAGGCGAGAGTCAGCTAACTCCTTGTATTCGGAACGTCACCTCTCCTACAAGGCAGCATCAAAGCGGTACGTTTTTTTTTGTTTGTTTTTTTATGATGACATGTGACCCCTCCCTTTGTGGTTGTGTGCTTACCGGTTCTCTTTACTGGCACTTTTGGCATAACACTTTGTTTTCATAGCTGATACAGAGTTGCCCCATTTCTTAATTTACCAGGTGAAGACAGAAACCAACTGCCCTGACTTCTGCTTGAAAATAAAATGTATTCCTAACCAACGGGCATATTGGAGTGCTTTTATAGATACCCCTAAATTATGTATGTATGTATGTATGTATGTATGTACGTACATATGTACAGATAATAGGTAGACTCTTTGTTGGCTTAGGAATACAGTCCCTTTTATGCTTTGTTAGACTCTAGGCTAGCAAAACACAGTGCAATTGGTATACCTGCAGTAGCTGTGTATTTTGCTGCTATACAGCCGGCAACTTGCCTTAAGTATTTGTGTATTTGTGCTCAGAATGCACAGCTCTGTAGAGCCACTATGGTTGATTAGAACCTGCAACATGTCTTTAACAACAATCGGTTCCCAGACCCGACTGACACTGCATAACTCAAACTGGAGGATGCAAACCTTTTACTTCTTGTTATTGGCCCTCATTGTGTCTCTTCACACTTATTCGGCTGTGTCCAAGTCATTAAAGGGACACTTTGAAACACCAAAAACAACTTTAGCTTAATGAAGCAGTTTTGGTGTATTGGTTATGCCCTTATGTGTCACTGCTCAATTTTCTGCCATTTAGGCGTTAAATCACTTTGGTTATACAGCCCAGGTCACATCTCCCTGCATGTGATTTACACAGCCTTCCTAAACACTTTCTGTACACATTGCACAATGTGTTTACTTTAGAATATCATATCACCTGCTGGAGACTGCTGTGTGTGTCTGTGTCTGTCATTAAAGGTCAATTAATATAGAAGGAGATAAAAATGTTAAAAGTAAACACACTGTGCTACAAAATCTGATTGAAAATGACAAAGTTAAAAAGTCACAGCCAGAGGAGGTGTGGCTAGGGCTGCGTTAACACAAATAAAAAAGATTTAACTCCATGTCAGAGAATTGAGCAGTGAGGCTGCAGGGGCATGATCTTTACACCAATACTGCTTCATTAAGCTTAAGTTGTTTTGGTGCTCTTTAAACAGCACATCTCTTGTTGCTCAGTCAGCATTTGGTGAGGAACATACTATGAGTGTCTTGGGTTATGGTTCAACTAGAACTGTAGAAATCTGGCTGGCTGTGTTACTTATGGAGTCTATACCAGCCAGAAATAATTGTTCTAGATCACTCCAATCTGCCATGTGTGCCTTCAGGCTGGCTTTATCTTGCAGGTCAAAGAAAGGTGACTGGAACTATGGGGGTGGTATAAAGAGTAATTCTGGGTGCAAAGTTTAAGTGGAGCATTCAACCAGAAAAACCGGGTTACCTGATTTTCCCTATCTGGGATTTGTCATAAAGTGGCATAAAAGCTGAGATGAATACCGGTTTAAAGGGATTCAAACAGTTTTCCTGGCACTGGAGAATCCTGGAGTGCCCCCCTCCCTTCAACCCCCCATCCCACGTTTTTTATAAAAACTGCATTAATTACACTTGCAGGGTTAAGGGTGATGTGAGTTGGCACCCAGACCACTTCAATAGGCTGAAGTTGTCTGGTTGCCTACAGTGTTCCTTTTAAAGTAAAATAATAATGAAAACAAAAGTTGGATGATGCCCCCAGACTATTTGCACCATCACTACTGCACTGAGCTTTAGTGTTTATGGTAGAGTGCTGCAGCATTCCCATTAATATTACTGCTGTGCTTTAAACTGTATCTTGCAGAAATGTAAGGTTTATTTTTACCATGGATGTCTTTAGATTTCAACTGCTTATTTGTAAATTTTATGTATTCATTTTGTTTTTTGCTTTTATTTACTTTATTGGGTGAGCTAGTACTATCTGGTAAAACATTGCCCTATTTTTCCAGTCATGCCTGTGTACATGTGTAACTATTAGTGAATAAAATACAATAGATATTAAAGGGACACTATAGTCACCAGAACTACAGCTTATTGAATTGAGTAGAATCATTGCCTTCAGGCTTTTTGCTGTAAACACTGTCCTTTTCAGAGAAAATGCTGTCTTTACATTACAGCCTAGTGATAACGTCACTGGCCACTCCTTAGATGGCTGTTAGAGATCCTTCCTGGGTCATGGCTGCCTAATATGCATCCAAAAATTCAGTGTCTCCACCCTCTGCATGCAGACACCGAACTTTCCTCATAGAGATTCATTGATTCAATTCATCTCTATGAGGAGATGCTGATTGGCCAGGGCTGTGTTTGAATCATGCTGGCTCTGCCCCTGATCTGCCTCTTTGTCAGTCTCAGCCAATCCTATGGGGAAGCACTGTGTATGGATCAGGCTACCACTTCTGATGATGTCAGCAGGCAGTGGCCAGGTCTAAAGGAAACAGAGACAAAGTAAGCAGACTTGCGTACAAGTAAGATTTTACTATATTTAGGGAGGCAAGAGGGGGCTTGGGGGCTAGATGGTGGTTTTAACCCTATAGGGTCAGGGATACATGTTTGTGTTCCTGACCCTATAGTGCTCCTTTAACACGTGTCACAGAACTTCTGATTAAACTTATGTCCTCGCCTAAAGTTAAAATAGATTTATGGTTTTATATAGTAAGCTGCTTCTCTTTATCTTATTTATTTTTTAATAATATAATATACAAAGAACAAAAACCAATGGGTTTATGATTCAATTTAACCTGCACGCTGCAAATCTATTCCAAGAGAACCATGGGGTGGACTCCCAAATCCCACACCATGGGTTTCTTGTTGAAGGTAATGAACTGAAGGAATTCTGTTTAATCGAGAATAACTAAAGGAAACAACATATTATATTAAATGTCTTCATAGCGTGTGTTTTCTCTGTACATTGTCTCTCCAGGCTTCACACCTGGATCTGTGAATTCAGTCTCTTATGTATCTCTCCTTTGTTATATAAGAGTGGAACAGATCATTGTGTCTTATGACAGCTGGGGGATAGGCTTTAACATAGCTGATTATTACAGTGAGAAATGAATGCAGATTAAACCTATATTAAGGAAGCGGTCATTGGCTGATTGTTGTCTAATGCTGCTGGAGAAACACTATACTGGTGGATAGGGATTATGAATGCCAGGGTGAGATCTCCCAATGTTTATGCTGGGTTTAAACGTTTGTAATATAATTACTTTTTATGTATTCATTACTTTTTCGTAATCAACTTTCAGACAGCCCAAATAATGAATATTCTATTTTGCTTCTAAAGATGTGTTACCGAAACAGATTGATTTGTATGTGTGTTTCTTGCAGCTAGGCAGTGGGCCCTTTACACAAACTCCATGTACAGTGCTTGTGTAAAGTCACTTCACCAAACCCCACATTAAATCAAAGGATTCGTTCTCTTTTGTAGATCGAGAGAAGGAATACTGTTCCTCGCGTCCAGGCAGCCCCCGTCCTCAGAAAACCTCCCCGAATGGTTCCAGTAGTTGCATTGGCCTAAGTAGCCGGATGGGTAGCCAGTCCAGCTCAGATGGCAGCTGTAAGACCTCCAGCGAGATGGTATTTGTTTACGAGAACGCTAAAGAAGGAGTTCGAAATGTTCGCACGTCTGAGCGGGTCACTCTTATAGTGGACAATACCAGATTCGTTGTAGATCCTTCCATTTTTACTGCGCAGCCAAACACAATGTTGGGCAGGTTTGTACTACGATTTCTGCTGTGCTTTTCTTTAAGATCATTTTTATTTTCCTATCTCTGAAAGATCTATGTTTTTGTGACAGATATACCGTGTCCTGTCTTTACCTTTACTGTGAGCTTTCAGTTCTATTTATTGTAAAAATGAGAAGTCCTTGAACCTGTCATGAACGGCAATCCTGTGCACTCGGCGACCTGCAGCTCACAGCATAACCTGTGTTAATGGATAGGACGTCAATACTAGTTAATGGCACCATTCTATTTCAAGGCTAATTTTGGTTTGTTTTCTTAATTCTAGCAGTGGGCTCTCTGCTCCCTGAAAACTGCGTTGGTAATTTTCTAGAGATTGATATATGTGCATGTTCTTTTTGCATAGGTTCATGGTGAAATTCATCAGATATTGAGGCTGTATAATTTCTAGATTTATATTCTTTTATCTATGCATATAATAAGTAGCAAATCTTATTTTTTTTTTCTGTTGCTGTTCTGTGTCCGTTTTGGTTTCCTCATATTGAAACATGTAATGATTTTGTTGTGCAGGATGTTTGGATCAGGCAGAGAACATAATTTCACACGTCCCAATGACAAGGGAGAGTTTGAAGTTGCAGAAGGAATCAGCTCCACTGTGTTTCGAGCAATTTTGGTGAGATTTTGTTTTCATAGCTAGAAATAAGAATATTTCTGAATTCTGAGTGCTCGTCCAACTTGCACAAAGCGCCATAATTTCAGTTGCAGATAAAGCAGTCACTAGGAGTGAAATGGATAGATGTTTCTCTATATAGGGGGATATCCTCTGTATTTTGTGCACAGTGCGATAGTTTCATGAAATATACCGTCACAGTCCATGTGTGAATCTTATTGTTTCCTTAATGAATATAAGCAGTTTGTTTCCCAATGATGTTTTTCCACATAAATTTATTAAAATTACATCAGAAGAAAACTGGAATGTTAATGAAACACAGACAATTCTTTGCTAAAGAGAGTGGTGCGCACTAGACAGGTATTTGTTTTGGGTGGTAATCGGTATATAATTGGTATGAACCTTGTAATTTATCGATAACTTACATCTCGCCATCTTCCATATCCTGAAACCCCAGTTGCCTGTCAATGAGGCGCCACTTTACGACCTCACATCCTTCCTCCCTTTGAGCCCCCGCATGTTGAGTTCAGCTGAAGGCAGGGAGGTGAGACCGTGCATAATCTACTGAGCTGGCTGATAGTGATACGAGTGTGACTGCCGCCAGCCTGTTCAGTTAATGCCACATTTGTGTCGAAATTGTGTTGCTTTTTCAAAACTTTAAACGGACAGAATATCGGCACCGGTTATTGGCCTAAATGGTGACCGATAATTTGTATTGACTCTGGAAAAATGAAATGGATCAATCCCTACTGTGCAGATAATCTAAACTCTCTTCCTTGTGCTGCAGTCTGTGTCCTGAAAGTGCCACAGCAAGGACTTATTATATTGATAAGGAATGACTCTGCATTTAAATAGCTCTGGTGATATAAATTGCAGGCTGGGTATCATTTACTATGCAGGGCAAAAGAGATAATTTGATCTTTCATTCCCAGGACAGACTGCTTCCCGCACCTTGCTATAATTTAGGTTCTGGGAAGTTTTCACGTCTGTGAAAGCAGATCACTTTTACTTTCCTTTCCACATTAAAATAATGCACAGAGGACAAGTCACATGAACAAATCTTCTCATCTTGTGGATGGACAACTAGCATCTTGATTAAAGCCTTTTTAAAAAAAAAAAAAATGCAAAGATTCACTGCATTCCTGCAATTCTTACGGGAAATATTTCCACGGGATCTTTAGTGTAAGTTTCACTGCTTCTGTCAGAGATTGGAAGGAGTGGGATGGATGTCTGGCTTGTCCGGTGCAAATACAGATCCTAAATAGTGAGTCTGTACCTGACTGAATATGTCCCAGCTCTTTACTGCACTCATTTGTTTCTGATTACTGTGGATTAAGTGTTAGTCACTTTGCCCACCTACATGTCTTTAGTAAATCTTTTACTCTGGTAAATATCCACTGCAGTCCTTACGCCAGCTGGCATTTGCAAGTCCACAGTTTTAATGTCAATGCGTGGAAGATAGAAAAATAAACTGTACCATAGAAGCTAGTATGAGCAGCATCTGTTTATTTGCTGAAATTAGAAATCACCATTATAAGAGAACTCATCAACATTATATCTGAAGTTACCATCATGACTTGTATCTCTTAAGTTTGTTGTCTGCTGTTTGAAGCAAATGATCGCAGCACATTTTGCATCACATTTAGCTGCCGGTCTCCATTATGCTTACACCATCCGTGTAGTGAACTAAATGTCTGTGTGTCAACCGCATTCTTCCGCCTAAAACACGTTTTCATGCATGGAATTTGCGCGTGAAGTTAATTAATCCAACATATAACAAGTATATGCTTGTCTCATAAATTGCAATTTGCACTAAATATGCAGCATTTTTTTTTTTTTGTCTTGTAATATTTTTTCCCCCCCTATAATTTTACAAGGATTACTACAAGACGGGAATAATCCGGTGCCCGGATGGGATCTCTATCCCCGAGCTGAGAGAGGCATGTGACTATCTATGTATCGCATTTGAATATAGCACTATCAAATGTCGAGATCTGAGTAAGTATCCCATAGGTGAGGCAACGTCTGGAAGACTCTTTCTTTCCACGTTTACTACTGCCCAGGTTTTTCTTCCAGTGCCTTACTATATGCTAACCACTGTATTCTGACTAACTCTTCTTATTTCATCTGTGATTAGCAGACACATTGCAGTCCATTTCTTATTGCTATCACTTTACATCAACTTTCCAAAGCTTGAAATCTTTGTGCATGCCTCCCCTGTGTCTGTCTCTCTGCTTCGGCATTAATCAACTGCTAAAAAAAATAAGGGGAATGTTATTAAAACCAATTAATTTATAATTATTTCTTATTGGTCTGTTTACTCTGAATAGTTTGTATTTTTTTTTATATTGATAATGGTTTTAGTGTCTTGCTTACGTGGATTTTCTAAGTACCTACATTGGATTCCTTATTCCTTTTCTTACCAGTTAGATATCCTAAACATGATCAAATTCCTGCATTAGTAATACAAGACAGGCTTTTACTCTAGGAATTTGTAATGAAGTGAAGCTTAATGCATGTGAAATGAACGGTGTGCTTCCTGTCACCCATCTTTCAGTACTAATCTAATGTATTTGATTGGAGTGATGTGAGCTTCCTTGTTGCTTTTTTATTATATTAAGTACTTGCAAACTAATATGAACTGAGAGATCATACTGTGTCTGCTTTCAAAGCATTATGGCTGTTAGTGACAGACTTTGCTTGGCTGATTGGAAGATTACTGCAGCTCTGAGCAGGTTGATGGAAAATCTCCTAAATATACCCAGATTTTGCTGAATGATTCTAACCATGTAAAAGCCCTTGTAGTTGTGCACTGAGTGAGCTTTTATTTATTGTATTGAGGTGCATTATGGGAGTTATAGACTCTAGCCTACAGGGCTCACTTTCATCTGTCAGTCTCTGGTACCTGGAGTTTCTCAGGCCATTGTGCAGGCGTTGTATAACACCATCTCCCCTCCAATAACTATTGTTACCTTTCCAGGTGCCCTGATGCATGAATTGTCAAATGATGGGGCCCGACGACAGTTTGAATTTTACCTTGAGGAGATGATCCTTCCCTTGATGGTAGCCAGCGCACACAGTGGGGAACGAGAGTGCCATATTGTAGTTCTTACAGACGATGATGTGGTTGATTGGGACGAAGAATATCCCCCACAAATGGGAGAGGAATACTCACAGAGTATGTGTATTATTTTCACTGTAAACGGTTATTGGTCGAGAAAGTGAAAACATGAGAACTGTTATGCAATCTCTGCTGAGGATCACACAGCTGTCTGTGTTTCAGTGTGGCCTTTAACCTGTATGGCCTTACTAAACAGGTAAAAGGAGCACTCCAAACACAAAGCAACTGTAGCTTGCTGATTTACTTTGTGTAATAGAAATCTGCTCCTTTATAAATTAACCTCCTCCCGTGAGACAACCAGTCCTGTTACTTCCTGGTTGCTTAGCTCAGTGGAGCTAAATTCAAGAGGCAGCAATTACTCAGAGCACATGCAGGCCATAAAAAGTCTGATCTTGGGAAAGAAGGAGAGTGCTTGCAGTAGCTGCAGATGACTAGATCTGCAGCTATTGCAAGCCAACCTTTCATATACTCCCAAAAAAAAATGCAAAACAACTTACAGGGCTATTTTGTTTCTGGGTAGATCTAGTAAGCTTTTTATTTTTAAATGGACTATTCCTTTAGGAGCTACCTGTTTGCAATCAAGTGTTTAGTCATGAAAACTGAATGCAGATGGCCAACAGCGAGAGAACCGTACAATGTATAATTACATTATGTCTGTGGATTGTATACTGTGTTATCATTTACACTGACTTTATGTTTTTCCTTTGCAGTCATCTATAGCACCAAGCTGTATAGGTTCTTTAAATACATTGAGAATCGCGATGTTGCCAAGTCTGTCCTGAAAGAACGGGGACTGAAAAAGATTCGTCTGGGTATCGAAGGTAAGAGGACTCTCCAAACATTGTTTGGTCTCTGTCCATTTGAAGCGTTCTCTGCATTCTCTACGAATCCTATGCCAATTCCCTGAACAGTGAATCATAGTGATTTGAAATTTGCAATTCTGTTTTCATAGCAGAGGTGGATAATAGGCTATGTATAATATTTAACATTCTGTGTTCCTATTCTTATTGGGTAGAGGAACAGATGGTGGTTAGCTATTCTGTGAGAAGTCAGGAACATGGGTGTATATCAAGAGGTTCTTAGGTGTCTCTATATGGCCAGAGTTTTAGTTAAAAGTACTGACGTCATTATAGTCATAGCTACAGTATATAGAATTATGGACAAAGGACCCATTCTGTTTCTCACCTTCTGGACAAAATGCTCTATTCCTTCTTAAAAGGAAACTATAGGCATCCAGACCACTCCATCTCATAGAAGTGGCCTGGGTACACTGTCACTGCCCCTTAACCCTGCATTGTTAAAGCAGTTTCTCTAAAAATACAATGTTTAAGTGATAGTCTACTAGAGGAACAAAACCGTATTCTTAAGACTAAAATGTTCCTTTAAGTCCAGCAAGCAACACCTGCTGTTGAATACCATCCTGTAACTTTTTTTTTTTCTTCTTTTCTTGAACTGTAGCACTGCACATCTCACCTACAATTCATAGATCTGGATGGCTGAATATAATTGCAGATAGTCTAGAGCAGTGGTCCAGAATTTATTAATTTCCTTTTCCTACTCCAACAACATGGACTGTTACAGAGCCATGAGGGGCTGATTAAGGAGCCATTGCTGCTGTAGGGGGTTGAACGAATAGATTTGCTCCTGGGGCTTCAGGCTTTAATAAATCAAATGATTGATTTGCTCCTGGGGCTTCAGGCTTTAATAAATCAAATGATTGAGGCTTCCTTCTCAAGCTGTGCTACTCACTAATGGTTTTATGAATTTTTAGGTTACCCTACATACAAGGAGAAGGTGAAGAAGCGGCCAGGTGGGAGGCCAGAGGTGATTTATAATTATGTACAGAGACCCTTTATCAGGATGTCATGGGAGAAGGAAGAAGGGAAGAGCCGCCATGTAGACTTTCAGTGTGTGAAGAGCAAGTCTATTACCAACCTGGCTGCTGCAGCAGCTGATATTCCACAAGATCAGCTTGTTGTAATGCACCCAACACCCCAGGTGGACGAACTCGATATCCTCCCATGCCAACCGACACCAGGGAACGATACAGATCCAGACGGACAAAACTCAAACCTATAATTCACACGGACTGGTCAGAGGATTGTGGGTGCACACAGGGGCCTCTGAGAATCTACCGTCACAGCAGTACCAGGTCAAGCGTCATTGTCCGGGAAATGATGCTCCTTTAAAGCCACCAAACCAGTGTGGTGGATTCAGCTATGATTAGGAGAGTTGGCCCATAAAATTACAGCTACTTGTGTTTGTTTAATACATAGGAAACACGTGGATTGTGCTGTGTGAATCATTTTGCTTTCATTTTAACGACCAAAGGGATACAATCATTGAGAGGTTTCACTTGTGCAATGTATTTTACTGCTGGGCTGCCTTTATTTATCAAACAAGAGTCTCCCTCTTCCCCTCCTCCACCCCCGCCCTCCCTTTTTTCCCCTTACCCATTGGGATTTTTTTTTTTACTTGTTACACACAAAGGGTTAACCTTGCGTCTCACTCATTGTGGCACTTTATGGCTGGTTTCAGATTGATGTTTGTAAAGTCATTTTATATTATATTAGTACTAACTTTAAAAAAAAAAAAAATCTATGAAAAGTTATGTTTTTTGCTTTATAGTTGTATAATCCCTTTTATGTCTGGATTCTGATTGAGCACAAAAGGAAAGTTTTCTTAAACCACTGGAGTATTTAATTTATAAGGAAGTAAATTTTTTACTTTAATATATGGTCAGATAGGTAATGAGTACATTTCACTGCTCCTGGCATCTCTGTGCCGGAACAGTTCTCACAAATCCAGGGTCGCTCCAGCACCGCCTTACAGTGACAGGTTTACCAATAAAAGTTGTTAATTGAAATGATTGTATGTTTTGCATTGAAATAAAAGGTCATTTTATTGGCGAGAGCAGCAGCCTGGCTTATTTTCCCCCCAGAAGGTTCATGTTTAGAGGAAGGGTCTCATGCAGCATTAGGCAACCTTCGGTACTCCAGCTGTTGTGCACTACATCTCCCATAATGCTCTTACAGCCATTGTGCTAACAAAGCTTTAGGGGGATGTAGTCCACAACTGTTTAACACTTATCGTGAAGGGTCTACACATTTCAAATGTAATCTGGGTATGCTTGCATCCTTTCAAATATGGGATTTAAAAGACAGGCATTTTTGAAGGACAGCATTCAGGGAGACTTTAAGCAGCATGTTGCCCCAAGTCCTGTATGGGCTAGAGACGTAGTCATTTAATTTAAAATTACTAGTTTACCTTTGTAAATCAATTGTATGGTGTCTGTGTAGATGCGCAAACACACAAGGCAGATCAGTACCATCCTTGGCATTATTTGTCTTTGTAAAATGCTGCAATAGTGTTTAGTGGGCTGTGAAAACAAGTCACACTTTTTTTTAAATTTGTACAGAACAGAGTAGTCCCATTTCATTGATATTCCAGTGCTCTGTATTGGCAGTGTTAGCACAAGAGTATACTAATAAGACGTGCAGACAGTAGTATAGAACAATTAAATTTATTTTAAAAATATTTAACTATTACAGTGTGCCATATAGCATAAAGGATTATTACAATAAAACATCTTTATACAATTAATATAAGAAATATTAAATCCACATGGGATCTCTGCAGTGTAAAAACACCTTAACATCTGAAATGACAATTTGAATATAAAAGCAAATGAGGACATTGTCGCATCTCACAATTAAAAAAACCAAAAACCGCACAGATTTCAAAATATACAATTAATGCAAGCTGTACACAACTAACCTGGTGCAAACACTAGCAGAATCAAACTCGTCTGGAATGACAGATCGGTGAGCTGACGGGTAACTTTGATATGGCTTTCTATGACACTTTATATAGAAAAGCGATCGTGACTCCTGCAAACTTGTTGCACTGCCAGAATGGACAGCAAAATCCTGGCAATTGCAGGGTTAAAGCTTTATTAATGCACTTTGAGGGCAGGTTGTCATTCACAAAGGCCATGGCAAGTCACTGAAATCTACTGGTCCCCCCAGGCCAGCATCTGCCTCCAAGAGACTCATAATGACCGCCATCGCAGCTTCGTCATTACTGGGGCTGCTCGATCCGTGGTCTGTTTCGATCAGATCCATCCCTATGTGCGAGTTTTCAACTGCAAAGAACAGAACACACTTTTACATTTAAAATCACTTCTGTATCCGAACACAAACTGACAATATCCAGTGCTTTACATTCATACCACATGCATAAGTAATTAAACCTCAAAGAAATTACTGTGGTAGATGTTTTCTGCCTGTCTCTCCCAGGGAAGCCATTCAGAATGGCAAGACCTTCTGCAAAGGATTTTGGGTAGTTTGCACCTTGCCCATGCTTCTGGCAATGAGAAGCATTGCAGCGATGCAGCACCTTCTAGAGTGTTTTGCTAGTGGTGAATAGTGATTTGGGGGTGATAAGGCAAGGGTTTATTCAATAAGTCAGTTATGCAGGATTGAAACTTTGTCCAAAATAGATTTAGAGAATTATTCTAACTGCACTATTATACACTAAAGCTTGCCATGCCTGTGAGTTCACCTTAATTTCTGGTTTAAGAAATGGAACAGTCTGTGAATCTGGGTGATGGCAGGAGATCTAGTTTTGGCTATACCTTCTGGCAACTTCCACCCCGCACACTGGCCCTGGGCTGTGTAGGAGGCACCAACCATCTTACTAGGGTCATATTCATATGTGAAAGATTCAAAAGGTTCTTTTAAATATAACTATGAATTAATGGTTTTCATTTAATTCCACACAAAAAAAAAAAAAATGACCAAACTGGCAGCAGAGGGGAGTCCTTTAACACTGAAAAGGACATGGTATTCTGTAGACCGGGGATGCTCAAAAGGTAAATCCCCAGATGTTTTAAAACTACAGCTCCCATGACGCTTTGCCATTCTAATTGCCTGCAAAGTATCATGGGAGGTCTAGTTCTACAATGTCTGGGGAATCTACCTTTTGGGCACCCCTGCTGTAGACTGTGCACAAATTCTTCCAGCTGACACAAATGAATCAAATTACTTTTGTGCACAAGATTTCAGTTTTGGCATAAACCTTTGAACCCTTTAAGGACACAACTTCAAAAGCAATTTTTGCATTTTTTGTTTGCGTTGCACTAACACCCATTATATACAGTTTATTTTTTTTAAAGGACAAAAAGGGCTTTAACTTGATCCAACATATATAAATTATAATAAAATAAAAAAATCAATAGGATTTTTTTTTTTTTTTAAATCTTTATTTTATCGTGCTCACGTGAAACATGGTAGTAGGCAACGCCACAACAGCTTTGCCAGCGATAACATTTTAAAACTGTAATGGGCACATAAACCTTGCACATTTTTTATTAAGGTTACATTATTATAAACATACTTGATGCTAGTCTGTAGTAGCCTATGTGAGTGTGCTGTCAGGGTAGGGTGTTAAGTGTGTTTTATTCACATAGGGGATTTACCCATGCTTTGCGTTCATACTTTTTAAAGAGCTTGTCTAGGAATCGGCAGGAGGGTGGGGGGGTTGGGCTATAGCAATAAGAGCCCGGCTGTGTTCGCTTCAAAAAGGGCTACTGCATGTGGGGGCTCGTCGTGTCTGTCTGTTTGGTTGTCCGTTTATGTGTTACGAGTCCCACTATCTGCATATGGGTTTTGCAAAAAGTAAGACGGAGCAATTTTATGTCCGTGTAGTGAAGGATTTGCCAGAGCAGTATTAAAGCTAACATCAGATGTCAGGAACGATCAGCAAAACAACAGAAGTTTGCAGGAGTCTCAAACTGTGTAAAACATGTTTATCCTGGGTGGTGGGTTAGAGGTGTCCCCTTGGGGTATGTGGTCCAGAGTGCCTCAAGTCGGTGGACTGGTGGGTGATGGTCCCAGAGGTTCCCTCGGGGTGAACTCCGTATGGTAGCTGGGTTTATCCTGGACAGTCCCGATCTTTTTGATGGTGCAGCTTGGAGTATGCCCGCAGATGTCAGGAGTGATTCCAAATCTTGGTAGCTCTGCGATTTATGTGAAGTCCTGTTATAAGTGAACGATACAGCTCGCGGGGTTCCCCATCGGTAGGGCAGCTCCCTGGCGCGAAGGTGCTGTAGTAGCGGCTGCATTGATTTCCGCCAGGTAAGTGTACTCTTGGTGATATCCAGGAAAATCGTTAGAGTGGGGTCCTCAAACGACAAGGGAGTTTTACCCCTATGCGTAGGTATGAGTGCCACTTTGTCCGATAGGCTCTGAAATCTTACAATGAGGTCTACGGATGCGATTGCTGGAGCTCGGGTCGGCTTTGGTATTCGGAACATCACGTCGAGCCTCAGGGACTTCACCTGTTTTGGTGGGAGCAGGGCACCCAGGAGGCGCCTGATGTAGTGGGGTAGATCGGGGAGGCCCACCGAGTCAGGTATCCCTTGGATTTTTAGATTGTGACGCCTCCTTTGGTCCTCCAGTGCATCCAGGCGGTTTGCTGGGGCATGCTGCTGTTTTGCTAGATCGGCTACTTGTTGTTCTACCATAGTTAACCTGGAGTCCTGGGTGCTCGTGCAGTCCTCCAGCTGAGTGATTTTCGACTGGGCCCCTTCTATGGCCACTTTATAGTAGGCCATGTCTGCAGCCAAGTCTTTGCGTAATTCAGCCAGCATTTCCTTAAGTTGGCTTACAGTGACCAGGTCTCCGGGTGTTTTGGGCACCGTGCTACGTTTTGGTGTAGGCCCGAAGGACGCTCCCTTCATAAGGTCTGTGTCAAAGTCCTCTGAGGAGTACAAGGCGAGCTCGTCCTCCAGCGCCATCTTGGACCATGCGGCCTGTTGTGTGTTCCGCTGCATTTTGCCGATATCCCTTCCGGAAGGTCTTGTCAGCCTTTGCTTTCTTGGATTTTCTGCCCATGTTCTAACTTTCGTCAGTAGTCGGGTTTAAAGGTAGTTTTGCGTTCGGATTCCACCATATAGGGTTCTTTTAAGGTAAGTTTGAGTCGGAGCTCACAGAGATGCGACCGCTATGTTGCGCTGCTGGCTCCGCTCCCGGAATTTAATTTTATATATATATAGATATAGTTTTTGCAATAATGTGTGCATAATTAGTGCAGATTAAGGAAAGTAATTAAAAATGAATTAATTTATTTCTGATTAACAGAATATGTGTCTAGGATTTTAAGTTTTTTTTTGGTAGTTACAGGTCACAAAATACAAGGACTAAAATAAACTTTTAATGTGGAGCGCTTTTAGAATTTGGTACAGTTGTCTTGTAAGCTGAATAGCCTGAAAAGAAAACAAATTTGCCACACAAAAGTATATATTTATGTAAAGAAGACATCACAGGCTATTTACCTAAGGTTATTTGGACACGTTCTACGTAGCCATTTCACCTCCAATCTCTGCTACGTATTGGAGTAAAATTGTGTGGGGTTTTTTTTTAACACACAACCTTATAACAAAGATCTCCTCATGTGTATTTCGTAAAGTTGGTGTGTGCTATTCCTGTACAAAACTATTTTGTGTTCAGCTACATCTGCTGAGTACAACAATACCTCACTTGGCACTATTTTGTGAAGCTACAGTGCCATAAAGGAGACCTGTTCATTTCAGTAGAATTTTGAGAGACATTTAATGGGCCCATGTTTCAATTTGGGGCATTATAGCAGTTTGACTTTAAAAAATCCCCACAAAGGCCTACCATTTGTAAAAGTAGACACCCCAGTGTAGTTCAAAAGGCATATTTATTTATTTATTTTAATTTGACAATTTTTATTGTTTTTCGTGGGTCGACTACTGTTGGAGGTTTGAATAGGAGGTTCAAACTGGATACAGAAAGGAGATATGGTGGAAATAAAAACATTTATGCTTTTGTCAAATACTATGGTCGGACAGTTCATTCTTAACTTTGAAGATCGTTTAAGTTTATCTCCCATTGCTTCCCCTCTGCTCTCTCCCCAAGGGAGGGCTTACCTCTAGGCTTTATAGGCCGGCTATTCTGTCATCTCCCGTGGGGGAGTCTCCCTTCCGTCCTATCTGTGGAGGTCTTTAAATTGCGATGGGGCTGAGGATTGGCAATATGTCGTCTATTAGATTGGGTGGGGAAATACAAAAAGGGGAAAAAGTACCTGTGCTTCAGTTCATATAGGTGCTAGCTATGTTTCAACTATTGGAAATAGGGAGTGTATCGTGCTTGTTCTCTCTCCCTCTAGCAGCTAAGGGGGTGTTGATTCGTGTTGATGCTTCTGGTTCGGTCCCTGTGCTTGGTTTCTGCTCTGATCGTACTCTGTATTCTGTCTGGGAGTCGTGAGCCTGCTTTTCCCTATGACGTGGCCTCCGGGTGTTTTTGGGTTGTTTATTTTTTAGTGTATTGGTGCGATTGCTCGCTAGTGTGTTGATGCAGGTGTGGTGAATAAGGGCTGAGGGCCTGGGCAGTTTCGTGTAACTGTCGTGAGGTAGTCTTCCCACCGTTTCCATGCCCCTAAGGCGTGCTTTTTGGGAGTCCATTTTTTTGGGGGACATTGCTTCATAATCGAAGTTTGTCGTGAGCTGCCATATCATGGCTTGTGTGGTAGGGGCCCTAGTAGACTTCCATTCCCTTGCTATCATCATCAGTGCCAAGATCAGTATGTGGAAGATCAATATCCCGTTCGCTCTACCAAATTGATCCAATGTTAGGAATGAGACCCATCTCCGGTAGGGGTTATGGAGATGAGCTCCTCTACTGTTTTCCAATAGCTTTGGACCCAAGTTAAGGTGGGGGATCAATGAGCCCAGAAGGGACTTTAGCTGCAAGTAAGAAAATAGCGCTCTTGGTGGCTAGTCTTCCCACCCAGGACAGGTATTTACCCTCCCATGACTGGAGCGTCTGCGTGATTTCCTTCTGTAGACTTTCATAGTTGAGTTTAAACACAGCCCCCAGGTTTTTTGGTATTTTCAAGCCCAGGTATGTGACGTAGTCGGTTCTCCAGTCCAAATTAAAGGCATCCTGGAGGGACCGAACCGTCTCGCCCGGTAAGTCTATCCCCATGGCCTGTGTCTTAGTTGTGTTTAATTTATAGTATGCGACCTGTCCATACCGAACCGTCTCGCCCGGTATGTCTATCCCCACGGCCTGTGTCTTAGTTGTGTTTAATTTATAGTATGCGACCTGTCCAGGTGATTCCCTGGAGTAGGTTGGGTAGGGATATACATGGTTGTGTCATGGTTACGAGAACATCATCTGCGAATAGGTTTGTTTTATATTCGCAGTCTCCTATTTGCACCCCGTGGATGGTCAGATTGTGTCGGATATGGGCTGCTAGCGGCCATCACACATAGTAAGGGTGATAGGGGGCACCTTTGTCTGGTCCCATTCGTTAGCTGGAAGGGGTCTGACATGAAACCTGCGTTAAGCACCTGGGCCGCTGGGTAGCGGTACATGGCTCGGACTGCGGAGATGAACCCATCTGGTATGCCGAATTTGGCCATGACCGCCTACAGGAAAGACCAGTGGAGACGGTCAAAGGCCTTCTCTGCGTCGAGGGAGAGGACCAATCACCCTTCCCGAGGCCAGCCCCTTCGTAGACTGTAGAGTATGTCTATTACTTTTCGTGTATTTTCAGAGCCCTGGCGCCCCGCTACGAACCCAACTTGCTCGCTGTGTATGATGTAGGGTAGTATGCCTCCCAGTCTGAGTGCAAGGACTTTGGCAAGAATCTTTACGTCGGTGTTACAAAGCGAAATGGGTCTGAAATTTTGTGGGAGAGTCACTACGTGTGCAAGAAGGATTTCCTCTGGTAGACCTTGGTTAGCTATGGCTTCCATGAACATCTCCACCAGTCGTGGGGCTAAGGTGTGTTTAAAGGGTTTGTAGTAAGAGTTGTCAAAGCCGTCAGGGTCTGGTGATGTACCTGATGGAAGTGTATCAATAGCTTTCAGTACTTCACCTAGCGTGATTGGGGCCGACAGGGCCTGCATCTGTTCTCCATTAAGTGTGGGAATTCGGGTGTTGCCCAAGAAACCACTGTGGTACTCCGCAGATGTGGCCAAAATAGTTAAAAACAAAAAGTTAGCATTTAGGAATTATAAAAAACCCAGAGTGAGGAAGACAAAATGATCTAAGATTAGGCAGAAAGAGGCTAAGCAAGTTATAAGAGCTTCCAAATCACACACAGAAGAGAAAATAGCACAGTCAGTAAAAAAGGGGTCAAAACATTTTTTAGATACATAAATGAGAAAAGAAAAGTAAAACAAGGATTAGTTAGATTAAAAACAAAAGAAGGAAGGTATATAGAAGAGGATAAAGGTCTAGCTGACTGCCTCAATGAATATTTTTGTTCTGTATTTATAGATGAAAATGAAGGAAAGGGACCTCAGTTGAAAAAAAAGGATAAATGAGTCATTTATTACACGTGAGTTTACAGAGGAAGAGGTTCTATTTCAACTGTCAAAAGTAAAGACAAATAAGTCAATGGGACCTGATGGAATACACCCAAAGCTATTAAAAGAGCTTAGTGGTGTACTAGCAAAACCATTAACAGATTTATTTAACCAATCATTGTTAACAGGAGTAGTCCCAGAAGACTGGAAGTTAGCAAATGTTGTGCCTATTTACAAGAAAGGTAATAGGGAGGAGTCGGGCAACTATAGGCCAGTAAGCCTTACTTCAGTAGTAGGGAAAGTGATGGAAACCATGTTAAAGGATAGGATTGTTGAACATCTAAAAACACATGGATTTCAAGATCAGAGACAACATGGATTTACTTCAGGGAGATCATGCCAAACTAATCTTATTGATTTTTTTGATTGGGTAACTAATATTATAGATCACGGTGGTGCAGTAGACATTGCTTACCTAGATTTCAGTAAGGCTTTTGACACTGTTGCACATACCGTGTTTCCCCGAAAATAAGACCTAGGCAGGGTCGGCGGCTGCTGGCCCTTTAAATGCCTCAGCCGCCTGAGCGCTCTATAGAGAGCGCACAGACGGCTGCCGCAGTGCCTCACCTCCCCTTCCCTGTAGCGTGGCCGAGCTCCTCTGTGCACTTCCTGTTAGTCCTGCCGGGTCGCGGACCGGATAGGAGCTCGGCCACGCTACTGGGGAGGTGAGGAGAAGATTGGAGGGGGGAGTATTACTGGGAGGGAGGGGGAGATAATATTACAGGGAGGGGGGAGATAATATTACAGGGAGGGAGGGAGGGAGGGGGGAAATATTACAGGGAGGGAGGGGAGAATATTACAGGGAGGGGGAGGTGAGGGTCTCTGGGGGGTTACACAGCGCGGACACCGGCTGACAGACTGGCTCTAAGCCCTACCCTGAAAATAAGCCCTAGTGTGTTTTTTGTGACTAAAATTAATATAAGACCCGGTCTTATTTTTGGAGAAACACGGTAGAAGGCTTATCAATAAACTGCAATCTTTAAGTTTGGATTCCAATATTGTTGAATGGGTAAGGCAGTGGCTGAGTGACAGGCAACAGAGGGTTTTAGTTAATGGACTATATTCAAAGCTTTGACTTGTCACCAGTGGGGTACCTGTACTTGGACCCATTCTCTTTAATATTTTTATTAGTGATATTGCAGAAGGTCTTGATGGTAAGGTATGTCTTTTTGCTGATGATACTAAGATATGTAACAGGGTTAATGTTCCAGGAGGGATAAGCCAAATGGCAAATGATTTAGGTAAACTAGAAAAATGGTCAGAATTGTGGCAACTGACATTTAATGTGGATAAGTGCAAGATAATGCATCTTGGACGTAAAAACCCAAGGGCAGAGTACAGAATATTTGATAGAGTTCTAACCTCAACATATGAGGAAAGGGATTTAGGGGTGATTATTTCTGATGACTTAAAGGTAGGCAGACAATGTAATAGAGCAGCAGGAAATGCTAGCAGAATGCTTGGTTGTATAGGGAGAGGTATTAGCAGTAGGAAGAGGGAAGTGCTCATGCCATTGTACAGAACACTGGTGAGACCTCACTTGGAGTATTGTACACAGTACTGGAGACCGTATCTTCAGAAGGATATTGATACCTTAGAGAGGGTTCAGAGAAGGGCTACTAAACTGGTTCATGGATTGCGGGATAAAACTTACCAGGAAAGGTGAAAGGATCTTAACATGTATAGCTTGGAATAAAGATGAGACGGGGGGGGAGACAGGTGGGGGGAGTATGATAAAACATTTAAATATATAAAGGGAATCAACACAGTAAAGGAGGAGACTATATTAAAAAGAAGAAAAACTACCACAACAAGAGGACATAGTCTTAAATTAGAGGGACAAAGGTTTAAAAATAATATCAGGAAGTACTTTACTGAGAGGGTAGTCGATGCATGGAATAGCCTTCCAGCTGAAGTGGTAGAGGTTAACACAGTAAAGAAGTTTAAGCATGCGTGGGATAGGCATAAGGCTATCCTAACTAGAAGATAAGGCTAGGGACTAATGAAAGTATTTAGAAAATTGGGCAGATTAGATGGGCCGAATGGTTATCTGCCGTCACATTCTATGTTTCTAAGTAAGTGACGATGTCCTCCTTTTTAGGGTCGTGTGCGTTGGGGTCATTTACCAGGTTGTATAGGTCCGCATAGTAGCGTGAAAAGGCGTTGCTAATGTCTATGGGGTTCCTGAGCTTTTCCCCCTCTTTAGAGTGTATGTAAGCTATTCTACATTTGGCCTGTTGTGTTTTGAGACTCTGCACTAATAACCTTTGCCCTCGGTTTATTGCGTTGCTTTGAACCTCCTTTGTACATACCCCATCCTCTCCAGGGCTTGTTGATGTATGAGCCTAAAGATATGTGTGATTTGATCCTTTAGTGCGGGCATGGGTGCCCTTTGATTTTTGGGTGTTCAGGTGGAACAGTTCATATTGCCACTGCCTTAGCTGTGTTTGTGCTTTTCTACGCAGGTAGAACTGGTTTGTGTGCTACCCATAGGGTGCTTCTCGTTATGTCTGGAGAGTCCAAATACAAAAAGATAAGTCCTTTGCTCACTCCCATCACTCCTGGGCTGCAGCAACGACCACAGTACACATCCGCTCCACTGGAGGGAATGCCATTAGAGTAACTAAATGACCTCCATTTGTTTAAATATACATAGGGATTAAGGAGAGAGCCTACACAACCTCCCCAAAAGGCATATTTTAAACCTTAGCGTAGGATCATTTTTTGCTAGTTTGTACCAAGTCTAGTAGCAACTAGCATTTTTTCCTGCCTTTTTGACACACACTTGGAGATGTTACTGTATATTTTGCAATTCTTATGTGTGCTACGGCAGTAGAACACCTAATATGTTGCTCAGCTATGTCGTCTTAGTACAACAACGCCCCCATGTGTACCTTTTTCAGGGGTATGTAGATTTTGAAGGGGCACATTTGAGACACACCAATTTCATATTTTTCAAAAGTGGATGCTGGGCCTAAGTCTCATTTTAACAGCTCATGATTGCAAATTACCTCTCAAAGGCCACATCTGTTTTGAATATAAGTAGCTCATCAATTCAAATTATGAACAAGTGCATACTATTTGATGTAAAAGAGGGAATATTTGGCATAGTCTTATCAGGGGGTAGTACCCAGTCATCTACGTCCCGGGCAACGCTTTCATGGATTCCGGAACCAAAACACAGACAGACCACACAGAGAAACGTGTAATACCGGTCCTTAGAATGGCCGGGCTATACAAGCAGAGAATAGTCAAGTTACAAGCTGAGGTCAAAGGAGTAAAGAGAAACGGAACAACAATAGGACAAGCCGAGGTCAAGGATCAGAGAAGACAGAATAAACGGGAGCCAAAACCAAGATTTGGTAACCAAAATTACACTCCAAAACCAGTCTACTTATTCGGCCTGGGTGTGGAAATTTTTAAAACAGTGGCCAATACATAGGCCTGGCTGAGAGGGGTAGTAATAACTGGTCTCAGCTCTTACACCCCTCTTGTAACACACCCTGCACCTTTTCGGGGGCGAAGTGGGGTTCTTTTTGGGGGTTGATAGAATCCTGAAGCAGAAGTGACCTGCCTCCATTCTTCTGCTAGGCTCCACTGATGGTCCCCCTCTGTGGCACTCAAGCAACCCAGAAATGAGCTGAAACTGAAATGATTGTGGATTGGCGTCTGAAATATATTAATATATATATATATATATATATATATATATATATATATATATATATATATATATATATATATATATATATATATATATATATATATATCTCTATCTATATCTCTCTCCCTCTCTCTCTCTCTCCACTTTTTTATACCATGCCTTGGCCTTTCGCATGATCAAATACGGCTGCATCACTTGATCAGACAGGTCAATTCTCCCCACATGACGATTGTACTGTTTTATGCAAACTGGCACCCATTTAAATTTCCCCTCTGCCACAAACTGTGACCCTGCGAGTGCGTTCACCATGGATCGTGATTAGGATGAACACCTTTTTATCGCAGTACTTTAGTGCCAGCAGTTCATTCTGGCAGAGAGCAGCTGGTTCCCCCCCCTTTAAAAAATTTTTTTCTGCTACAGCCTTTGGGAAACCTGTGCGGCTCATCCGAATAGTGCCACAGGCCATGGTCTCAAAGCAATACAGCATTTTTAGAAGTGGGATACTATTATAAAATTGATCAATATACAAGTGATATCCCTTGTTTAGTAACGGTGATGATTAGGTCCCAAACAATTTTCCCACTTGTCCCTTCCTTCATATACACGGAAGGTGTACACATAGCCACTGCCACTTTCACACAATTTATAAAATTGGATCCCATATTGGGATCTTTTGGATGGGATGTACAGTTTAAACCTTAGTCTTCCCTTATACCTTATGAGGGATTCATCAATAGAAATAGATTTTTTTTGGGGTATAAACAGTGGCATTTTTTTTTGTTAAAGTGGGCAATTAGAGGGCGTATTTTATATAGAAGATCATACTGCGGATGTGCTTTTGGGGGCCACTTCGTATTGTCACTAAAATGCATAAATCGCAGTATGTCTTCATATGTCCCTACTCATTATCTGGGGAAAATGGGTTTTTTAGACCAATACATTCTAACTGTGGGCTTTTTAATTATCCCCATTAGCATTGTCAGTGCCCAGAACGGTTTCAATTCTGGCCCACTGGTTAGGTTCCATCTTTCTTTCCTGGCAATAAGAGACTCTTGATTGTGTGCCAGATACAGCTCAGTGTACAGATTAGTCTGGGTGACTATCTCCCAAGAACAGCTGCATACAATCCAGCACATTATAGCCAGACAGGTCAGCCTGTATGCCAGGATTGGCAGTGAACTCTGGGATGTCTAGTGAAAAATTATTAGGGGGTACCCAGTCATCTGCACCATGTTCAGCATTAGGGGAATCAGTGATTTCTCCTGATGGTCCTGCAGTATCTGGCACAAAGTCCCTGTCCCATGCGTCACGCTCTGAGGCAGTGTCGGCCCTAACAGGGCATAAGCCTCCTTTGCGCTAAACGTCCTAAGCATTATGTAATGAGATAAAAAATTTAAGTTTAGTTAAAGTTTATTATTTCCACCACTAATTAGCTTATCACTAAATTCCACCCACCCTAACTAAATCACAAATTATTAAAATTCAATTTAACCCCCTTAGGATTAAAAAAATAAATAAAAATAAAAAATCACAGGGTAAAAAAAATAAATAAAAGAAAATAGATCACAGTAAAGTACTGTGGTCTGTATTTTGATCACTGCTGGCAGCGATCAATCATCAGGGAAAGTGTTTTTTTTATTTTTTTTTTTATTTTTTTTTTTTTAAAGAACAGGGTAAAGGGGATTTGGAACCTCTTCAGACAATTTATTTACTTCAGGGACACAATGTAACAACGACCCGTCTCTCTCCACTTCAAAAACCCACAAGAGGTGGAGGGAGGCGGATCTGATATCCCAGCAGCATTGTGACCGCTGTGACTGGCTGTCACAGCGATCATCTGGGCTGGGACATCGCGATTTGCTGGTCTGCCTCTGACTCGGAGGCACCCAGTAACATTGTTAAGCCCGCGATCGACGGCACCACAGCGATCAGGGGTTAATTTTGGCACATGACGGACCGGGTCCTTCATCCGCCGTTAATTGTTTCCCCCAACATGATGGACCTGGTCCGTCATTAAGGGGTTAACAAGGTGGTTCTTTACTTTGAATAATAGCTACACCAGGGGTATAACTTTACACAATCACCAGCTGGTGGCACTCTTTGCAGGACCAACAGACCAAGCATGAGCCTCTTGCCAGATTACTCCTTCCTCTCAGCAGTCAGAACTTTGATCAATTCTATAAATATATATATAGGTAGTGTGTATTTCTGGAAACCAAACTAACAAGATCAAAGAGAATCTCCAGAACCGCACAATGGCCTTGCATGCTCAACACCAACCCCATACACACTTCACTGTTGTGTATTATGTTACACCGTTTTTTAAAAATATTTTTAGTTAATATATTGAAATTCCTAGCCTCTCCTTATTCCTGCATTTATAAAGGTGTCAACATCCAGAAATCCTACAGGTAAATGTTTTAAGAACTTTACTGAACTTTGTCCTTCACCAGATTGGAAAAAAGTACATTTTAGAGCAGGATACAGAGGGGATAGAAAGAACTGTCCAATAACCTTTAATGCTGTCATTACTACACACTTCTTACCAAGCATTGTAGAACTGTCTGAGTAGGGGAAACTGGAGTTGTCCTGGACTTGGTTGGATAACAATGCAGAGGTGGGGATATCCAGAGTGTTTCCATTTAATATCTAAAAGACAACAAATAAAAATAAGAGTAAAACACCAATTAATACCACTCTGCATATACATTGTCATAGATTAGATAATACACTGCAGTAAAAAGAGTAGACAAGAACATTTCTTCCAATACTTTAATCATTTAAGTCATCTGAAGACACGGACCATTTTCACAAAATTAAAAGCCACTTAATGAAGGATTTGTGCTCAGTTTTCAGCCCTGTATCGACATCTAGTACCAGGCTTCCTGATAGACAAGTAGAACGGAATGCCAGGAGGTTGGTTCATTTCTCTGTAAAATTCTTTGTAGGATTTAAAATGCCTCCTGGGCTACCTTCTAGCAAAAGTGGCTTTGATTCACCCCCCCAGTTTTATCTTGTTATGTGATCTATAAAGGGGTATATGTTCTGAACTCGTGATATGGACTGTTCCAGCCAGCAAACAGTACGTCATTACACACAAAATGTAGCAAGCTGGAAGGGTGTTCTGATCATTCTGTCAAAAATAGCAAAATATAAAGACTAATTCTGCATTTCATTAGGTAGATTCAGGGCCTCGTTTATTGACTTCTTAAAAGAAGTGGCTACTTTTTGACATGAAAAGTTATTTTTCAAGGCTTGATTGGAAGCACAACACATACTGACATAATACACAGCATAACAATGAACAGCCCAGTCTGAAAATTCAGCTACAGAACACATTGAGGTGTTTAAAGGTAAACCATTGCCTTGCGATGATAAAGATGGCTGAAATAACAGATTTGCAAGCAGTGCCACAATATCGGGGTTTAGATTTTCAATTGACAGGTTTTAATTTTCATGACCGATTTGATATATCGTGGAAGCATAAAACAATCAGGATTATCCATTCAGGTGAGAATTGCACATCTGAGCCTAAAGCATTCAAACTGGAAATATTCTTCAAGTCAGCACGCTTCTATTTTAGCTACTTTGGCCTTATGTTTCAAATTCGCTGAATTCCTGACACAGTATTGAATAACCAAAAACAGTGTGTTTTCAGTGTGGCATAGTAAGCTCTTTGGAGATATGGCATAATTTATAGGATTAGGTAACTAATAATCCTCTTCAACATATTTTAAAGAGGCATATACACCTGTCAGCCGCAACACTACACCCACTGGCAGGTGACGTAAATAACATTGATTATATTTTTACAATGGCACCTGTCAAGGGGGGGATATATTAGGCAGCAAGTGAACAGTTCGTTCTTGAATTTCATGTATTGGAAGCAGGAAAAATGGGCAATGAATAAATCTGAGTGACTTTGACATGTTTGAATGACTTGGCGACTGGGGCAGAGCATCTTCAAAAGTGCACATCATGTGGGGTGTTCCTGGTATGCAGCGGATAGTACCTACCAAAAGTGGGGCAAGGAAGGACAACCGGTGAACCGACCAAAGCTCATTGATGTACGTGAGGAACGAAGGCTTGCCTGTCCGGTCAAACCACAGAGCTACTGTCTCTAATATTGCTGAAACACCAAATGTTGGCTATGATAGAAAGGTGTCAGAACACATGGTGCTTTGCGGTTTGACCGTTCTGCACCTGTGCAGCCCCATAATCGAAAGAGTGCCCATGATGACCTCTACCCATTACCAAAAGCACCTTCAATGGGGAGGTGTGCGTCAGAATTAGAGAATCTTAACAGCATAATTGGGAACAGACCGATTATTATATATAGAGGAGCGAATAGTTTGAAACACAATTTAGTTAGGAGTTTTATCAAACCGAGAAAGTCTAACCATGTTTTTAGTCAGAAACCTGGCCTTTATCCTTGTAAACTTTGTCCAGGATGTAAAAACACTAGCCCTAAAAAAAGTTTTTTTCCCTTCTAAATCCTTAGTATCAGGGCAATTGTTTTATATTAAAGATGTTTTGACTTGTCATTACTGTATATCTTCTCTGGTGTCTATGTGGACTGCAATACATAGGAATGACCACTAGAGGTTTTTAAACACGTATTGCAGAACACAGATATGAAAAACAGTGTCTCTGCCCATTGTTTTAAATTTTTTTAGTTTATATTTAGTGTCGCCAAACCCGGAACTTATCTGCTTCAGATTTTACTAATACAAGGGATATTTAACTGCACACTACGGAGAGGCAAGTCAGTATTGAAGAAGTCTCCTGAGAGAGTCTAAACGAGTCTGCTGCCTTCCACATTTTGGGAATATATATATTTTTATTTTCCCTCTTTTTTGCTTTGTATATAATTTTATTTATATTGATACTGCTTCATGTCTTGTCCCTATTTTATGTTACCATAATAAAGTGGTCTTATATTTACCTTGGATCATTCCTCTCCATCTCTCCTTTAGATCAAATACAGGGCAGAAATCGTAGCCTGTGAAGGCACCCTGGAGCTCCTTAGATAGAGATTGATATAGCTCTTCACAGTGTGAGTTTGATTCCTCTGGTTCTTAAGTGTATTTTTATATTTACAGAAAGCACTATGTATTATTTCTCTTATATTTTGTGATATACCTGTTTGACCTGAATTTGATATACTGTGTTAGGCATTACCTGTGTGCATTCACTTGCGGTGTACTGTGTATTTTTTATTGGATATTTTAAAGGTAATTAGGGGATACACCCTTTTTGATTCCTCTTCTATATTGAGAAGTGCCAACACACCTTGCACTTTTTTTTCTATAATGGAGGAAGGTTGCCTGGTCTGTTGAATCACGTTTTCTTTTAGATTAGGTGGATGGCCAGATACATGTTTGTTGTTTACCTGGGGAAGAGATGGCAGCAGGATGCACTATGGGAAGAAGGCAGGCTGCAGGGGCAGTGTTACGCTCTGGGCAATATTCTGCTGGGGATCCTTGCGTCTTGGCATTTATATGGATGTTACTTTGATACATCCCATCTACCTAGAGATTGTTGTAGACCACGTATACCCTTCATGACAATGGCCTTTAGCATGATGATGCAGCTACCACACTGCAAAGATTTTTCAAGAATGGCTTGAGGAACATGACAGAGTTTAAGGTGTTGCCTTGGCCTCCAAATTCCCCAGATCTAAATCTGATTAAACCTGTGGGATGTGTTAGACGAACACGTTCATGGAGGCCCCACCTCACAACTCACAGACCTTCGGTGACCTGCTACTAATGTCTTGGTGCCAGATACCATAGGACAGGTTGATGCCTCGATGCATCAGAACTGCTTTGGCAGCAGGAGGGGGACCTACATTTTAGGCAGGCGGTTTAAGCTTTACATGTTGTGGCTCATCAGTCTTGGGATTTTTTTTAATTTTTATTTTTTTACACAATAAATAAATAAATTGGGGGTAGCCATGATAAATACATCAAACCCAATAATCTCGGTTTCTTTGAGTAGAGAATAAAATGGCTTGTGTCATTACCTTTTTACCTCCAGGGGACGTGGCATCAGGTGGTGGCGTGCTGGTTATGTTCAGTGGACTGGACCCACAGCTCGAAGGAGAGGAACCTCTCATTCTGCATAAAACAAAAATTCTATTAGTTAGTCAGTAACCTCCACAAAGTTGCAGATTAAAGCAATTAGTTCTGATATCCTGTATCCCTCCTAAAGAGTACCTTCCATGCTATGATTTACTGTGACTTGAATTATATGGCAGCTTTCTCCATTTAAATAAAGCACAGACCCCATCACTTTCTGCCTATGTTGGACACAATTGGCATTATTAGGAATTATTACAGCAGATGTAGAAATGAAGTTTCTGGGTGCAGATGAGAGCCCCAGTTTAACCACTCTTAAATAATTTGATAAAAAGTACCAATTACTACATAAAGCTACAGTGGTTTTGGTTAATAAAATGCCTCAAATATAATCCCTATTTTTATTATTACCTGTAAATTTCCATGATTCTCCCCTCAACCCCCATTAATTCATATTTTTTACCTCTGGTTTTTGTTTTTTTCCCCCCATTAAAATGACCCATATTCTAATCACCTATGAATTTCCATGATTTCTTCTGCAATCATTCTGCCAATTTTTCCTGCTCCGGCCCTCGTTCCTCCGGGAATGCCAGGGACCGAGGGATGTGTCCTTTTTGTTCCACCTAAAAGAAGGTTCATAATAAGTGTATATATAGGTTTACCTATTTAAATACTGTAGGGTTACATTATTAAAACATACACAACACACTTTTTATAACGCAACTGTACAATTAAATATAACAAGGTTATTCACTAAAGCGTGAACTGACAGGAATTCAAACAGGATTATTCACTAAACTCTCAATGTTCGGGAATTAAATCCGAAATGAGAAAATAGGCAGATCTGGGAAAATTATCTAACTAGTCACAGATTGGCTATTTTTGCCTACCCAATTCAGATTTACTTTGCAAAAATTCAGAGTTCAGTGAATAAGTGTGAATTCAAAGTTTTAGGCAGAGTTGAAAAAAGTTCTCCAAGGTCTGCAAGGTCACTTTTCGATTCAGCTATTTTGGCCAAAAATTGGACATTCACACAGTGAATCACCCTCCAAGAGTCCAAAATTTTAATTCCAGAGTGTAAAGTGGACTTGGTACTAGTTCATACAATGTAATCTCTACCCCTATGCATGAAGGATCCCCTTCTAAAATATAGTAATAACAAATATTCAATTAAATACTTTTTTGTAAAACCTGTGCACATCCAAAAAGCCACTTTCCTTCACCCAATAATTTTGGATGGGAAGTTATGAAAACAGGTTCCAAGCACAATATATTTAAGAGAGAAATAGAAAAAGAAAAAAGAAAATAAATAAATAAAAATCGGAACATTTGATGCTCACCTTCTCCCGACTGTAACAGGCTGTCCATATTGGGCGGAGAAGCGGATAGATTGGAATAGCCAGACTCTCCACCATCTACAACACTTGCTCTACAACAAAATCAGAACAATGATCAATAGTCAAACTATAGAAATCTATTTTCTTATACATAATAAAAACAAAGAGTCTCCCCATGTTTGTCTTATTAAGAGTTTATAAGTATGTAGGGGCAGCACCCCTTCCTGTCTCAGAGAACTTTGCCTTTTACCTGATACCAGCAAGGTGATTTGTATGTGTTATAGCCCTATTCAGGGTTAAGTATGTAGGGGTTTTTAAAACACCCCTTCATGTCTCATTAAAGATGTTTACTGTTTGTCTGATACCAGCAAAGATTATTGTATGCGTAGAAGCCCTATAAAGGGTTAAATGTGAAAGGGTTTATAAAATACCCCTTCCTGTTTCATTGGAGATTCTTGGCTGATATCAGCATATCTAATGGCTAGTGTAGGACAAACCACTTGGGGCTTGCCTTGACGTGGCAAGTGAGTTTATATTCAAATGGCCATTGGAATAAAACTATGTTTAAATGTACATAGGGATTTAGGCCAGAGCGCTTTGTTTTTACTATGTATTTTGAGCTGTTGGATACTAAGCTACTGCTGCTGTAAGCGTGGTTCTTTATCTTTGTATTTTCTTATATGCATACTTACGAGTCCAGTATACTTCTTTATTGGGTTTAAATAAAAATAAATAAATAAATAAGCTCTGCTGAATGTGTCACAAACCCTTTACCTGCTGCTCTTTTCCGCAGAGAACATAAAGCCTGTGCTTATTGGTTAAACTTAGAAAATTTAAAATAACTAAAAGATATGTAGGAAAAATAAAATTAAAAAAAAATTGCTACTTACGAAACCACAGTATTCGTGGAGACAATGTACTCCACTTCTTTCGTCCACGGATTCATGAAACTGAACCATCGGCTTTTCAGGGTAATGAACGAACCGTCTTTGATTTTAAACTTGTAGCAATCTGTTGTTATTTTTTCTCGAGTTTGTAAAACTGGATAAGAAATAAAATATAAAGTTCATTTTTAGATATGCTCAGTTTTATCACAAGCCAGTATCACACCATCCTGCACCAATCAGATGTAGGTCTCTAGGTGGACTTTGCATTAGGGTTTTTCTAAATTTAATTTCTTGGCACGGGAAATAGACATTGCAGGTACACACCTTGCTTATGGCACTCTGCAAGACTTCCAATATCATCCTGATGAAAATATTCATAACATGAGGTGCCTAGGAGTTCCTGCGGTAAATAGCCCAAAATTGCGGTTGCCCTGTATGGAAATAGATTTCATCATTCATTGTGTATTTTACAATACAATACAGACTCAATTTTCACAGAAAAGTTTCCAATTTATTCTGTATGGAAAAAAACCTTCCTCTGGTCTCATGTATGGAACAGTGCACCTCTCGTATCCCACTCACAGCTGTGGCAGTTACCGGTCATAGAATCACAGGCCATGTGGACATTGATATCCTAAACGTCACAAGGTGAATGTGAAATGAGTGATATAGTTATCTATACTACAAGGATATTAAAAACTTATCCACTGTTCTAATTTTTTTTTACCCCCGTCCAAGGTTATTTATTAATTAATGGAATGCTAAGAGTGTGTGTGTGTGTGTTATTAACTAAAGTGTCAACAGTCAGGAATTCAGGAATTCAGGAATTTAAATCCTTTAGGCCACAATAATGAAGCTGGTTTGAGGTGAGGGACATAGGATGCTTGATGTTATACTGTAGATAAACAATCTATGCTGGCGAAGATCAAATTGAAAAGCGGCAGAACATGCTTGTGTGTGACAAACAATATTTAAACATGGGATGTCTGAGTGGGTAGGGGGAATTCTATAAAAAGTCCAAAATATCTGAAGCAATTTACAGACTTCAAACATGCAGTGTATACTTTACAAATAGCAGCAAAAAAGCATTTTTCACAACTCAAGGACACAAAGATACTACAACACTCCTGTAATTAGGAAGTAATTAATCTTACCGTTGGTCTACAAACACAAACTTTCCATCTATTGCATGTCGGGAGACGTATTCAGTGGACTTGACTCGGATTTCTCCATTGATTTGTTGCGGTACAATGTGTGCATGTAATCGTCCAATAGCAACAAGGCAGCTAAGATTGCACCCCTCATTGTCGGGCTCATTGTCCTCATCCAGCCCCATCTTAGTGGGTGGCCAGCTCTTTAAATACCCAGTGCTGTGTATCGTACAAAAGCTTTTACGATCCGCTACACAGAAAGAAACATTTAACTGTTAGCAACAAACAATATCTTCTCCCAGAAAAAAAAAAAAAAAAAAAAGTACTCCGTTATAGCTTCAGTTCATGAAAGTAGCCTACATCATCTAGAGTGATCGGAACTTATTCTGCAACATATGTATATCCAAAACCAATCACAGAGCCAGAAATCAACCTGCATCTTGTAAAAGACTGATGTCCAAACACATCCAGTAATCGATATACACACACTTTTCAAAATATTTACGCCCTCTCACAACCAGCATTCAGATATTTAGTACGTTGCCAACACATGCAATGGTAGATCAGCGCATACCAGCACGAACCTTTCTTTTTTGAGCAGTTTGATGTGAAATCTTTATCTTCTACTTTAACAGAAGGCCGGTTACATTTCATTCGACAAAAGAATGACCGCCGAGCTCCAGAACAAAGACGTGACGGTCCTGGCGTAATATCTGTCTTTACAGGGAGTCCAGCTATGACAAAAGCGCACACAAAACAGTGGTCAGTATCCTCTATTAAATCTGAATCAAAGAGCTTTATACGCTGTCTGAAGGTTATGTGAAATTAATTTCATCTGAGACAGCTGCAAGTACTTTGAGTATGACGGGGACTTTATTAAAAACATATTAAGATAAAGTGGATTTTGAACAAGATGAGAAATTCATACTTTTTGCATCAATAAGCCTTTCTCTGGGGGCTGTATCAGACGACGACAGCTGCTCCTTTACTTTGGCAATATCTTTAGGGTGCAGGTAGTCAAACAAGCTCTGTCCTATCAGGTCGTTCTGAAAGATAATACAATGAAAGTTTATGGATTACATGGTCAGTAGTAAGATAGAGGACAGTGAAAAAAAAAAAAATCCATCTAATTTATCAAATTTATTATTACTCCGTAACACCCCTCTCTCACACATTGTATCCACATCACCTACTTTAAGACCCTCACTGGCATTCCCCTAAAATGTAGCACCAGTAATACCGGTTTCAAACTTCGCCTTTAAAATAGGCCTCAGAAACAAGACCCCCCCCCCCTCCATTATTGCAACTACAAGGTTTTCATTTTTCCTAGTTTCGATCACTCAGCATTATACTCTCCACTATTTTTCCAGTTATTGTGTCAATCTGACAAGACACATAGGTCTAAGAAAATAATACATAATTTGCTCTATCCCCACCCATTTCTGCCTCACATTGGTAAAGACTTGATGGTAAGGTATGTCTTTTTGCTGATGATACTAAGATTGGAAGGAGGGATAAGCCAAATGGCAAATGATTTAGGTAAACTAGAAAAATGGTCAGAGTTGTGGCAACTGACATTTAATGTGGATAAGTGCAAGATAATGCATCTTGGACGTAAAAACCCAAGGGCAGAGTACAGAATATTTGATAGAGTCCTAACCTCAACATATGAGGAAAGGGATTTAGGGTGATTATTTCTGATGACTTAAAGGTAGGCAGACAATGTAATAGAGCAGCAGGAAATGCTAGCAGAATGCTTGGTTGTATAGGGAGAGGTATTAGCAGTAGAAAGAGGGAAGTGCCCATGCCATTGTACAGAACACTGGTGAGACCTCACTTGGAGTATTGAACGCAGTACTGGAGACCGTATCTCCAGAAAGAAATGGATACATTGGAAAGCGTTCAGAGAAGGGCTACTAAACTGGTTCATGGATTGCATGAAAGGTTAAAGGATCTTAACACGTATAAGCTTGTAGGAAAGAAGAGACAGGGAGGATATGATAGAAACATTTAAATACATAAAAGGGAGTCAACACAGTAAACAAGGAGACTATATTTAAAAGAAGAAAACTACCACAACAAGAGGACATAGTCTTAAATTAGAGGGGCAAAGGTTTAAAAATAATATCAGGAAGTATTACTTTACTGAGAGGGTAGTGGATGCATGGAATAGCCTTCCAGCTGAAGTGGTAGATGTTAACACATTGAATGAGTTTAAGCATGCCTGGGATAGGCATAAGGCTATCCTAACTATAAGATAAGGCCAGGAACTGATAAAAGTATTTAGAAAATTGGGCAGACTAGATGAGCCGAACAGTTCTTATCTGCTGTCACAATCGATGTGTCTATGAATTGGAGAAGAGCTCACTCTTGCCAGAAGAGCCCCCTAAACTTTGCAGATTCGTGTATTAGTCTCAATGTGTAAACAAACAGCAATTGCAATTCAGAAAAGGGTTATTCGAAAAAGGGAAATCAGTATAGCATTCTAGATTTTAATACAGGGGTAAGAGAAAGATTCCCAGAACTACAATTCCCATGATGCTATGCCTTGCTTTTGCAGCTGGGACACCTCTATGGCCATCCCTACTTTCACACAGCATTTCATTTTGTATAACATTAATATCCGTTGACTTCATAAGGAATACCTGGCTGTAATTTAAAATCTTGAATACAGATTCTGAGACAAACAATATCTTCCCTCGGTCACAGCCTACAACAAAAAGGAACCCGTCTGCAGCCTGAAAGACAAAGTAAATCCTGTAAGGTTGGTGGATTTATGGATAATAAAAAAATAAAAAAAAATAAACACATTTACAGTTATTTATGAAAGTGAGATTTCAAAGTGAATTTCAAATTTAAGGTCAACATAGCCAAACAGGAAAAAATCTGGCCTTAAATCTGAAATTCACTTTGAAATCTCACCAGTTTGTCTACAGCAATGTGTCATGATGGTTCATTCAAAACGGTTAATGGGGAGCGGTGTGGAACGGAGCCTAATTTTACTCTCTGTATACAAAAACAGAACATCCATATTCATGCAATCATCTGCTTCAATCAGAAAACCCAAGATTCTCTGTGCAAGATGATGCTGGGTTTCATTCTAATAGCAGCTACTCTGAGCGCCTGCTGCGGGTTTTACATTGTCGGGGTGAATTATTAAAATAAAACCGGTACACACAAGGCTACGACTTATCCAGAAACATATGTTTTGATGCATTTAATTTGGTCAGAATGATAAACACCTTCAGGTCCCACAAAGCAACTGTTTTTGTCAAGTCTCATTAAAGGTGAATTTAAAAATGTATTCTTTGAGGCTTAAGTGTTCATTTCCCTCCTTGTTTACCCGACAAGATTGGTAGGTTGTAGCGGTGACTAATACACTGTGGCGTCGGCAGATGATCACTGTATCAGCCGCTGGCATCCTAAGATTTGGGGAGAGCCATATGATATTTTTTTACTCAATCACTAGTTAGTGGATTGCATCTAATGCTTGGTGCAAAAATGTTTAGGGAAATTATCCAAGTCTTAATAAGGAATTTACACCGAGTAAGCGGGAAAATAAATAAATAAAAAACACTTTACTTACCCTGAGAATTAAATGCTTCAGCTCGTCGTCTGATAAAAATGCAGGCTTGTAGTTTGCTTCCGTATAAGGATTCGTAGCACCTGCCAGCAAGGAGAAGTTAAAGAAGCATTCTATTGACATGTTATTATGCATCCTGTGCATTATAGAAGCCGTTATTTGCAAATCCTAAACTAATTGGAGAGTTGGTCTCATTACTGAAAAAAGATCCCCCCACCCGCAAAAAAAAAAAAAATTTGAACACAAAAACAGACACCCCCACACAAATGAAGCTACCCTTCCTGCAAATAACTAGGGCCAACGTGGCTATATGGTCATATTTAAAGAGGTCTGTCTGTTCCACATCTTTAACTATTTTGTCCACGAAATGACAATGTCATCATATGTAGTGTATGTATCTGCTCACTTTGAAAAACATTTAACCAAACTAACATTGCTGTACATCGGTTTCTCCGCCATTATTACAGGGAGAATAAGATTGACCAGTCCTGATTTAGTGTATAATGAGTCTGCCTCGCTCACCTCGGAGTGTTTTCATGTGCTGGACTGCCATTCGCAGTACAGTGAGTTTATCCAGCTTCCTAGACATGGCGTTACACGTGGGCACTAGAGAGGCCAATTCATCAATAAAACTGTTCATTTTATCCCTCCGTCGCTTCTCAATCTGACTGTGCGCTTCTCTGAGGGGAGGAAGGCACAGAGCATTAAACTCTTTATAGCAGCTTGGACACATGGCATACAAACACACGCACACACACACACACAAACACACACACACACACATACCCACAGATACACAAAAAGGATTTTTGATTTCCTTGAGTACAGACACTTACCGTGCATTTTTAATTCGACCCTCTGTATATTCCAGCCTGAAAATAAGAACATTTTACTGTGAAATATAAATGCTACATTGACTTTTCTAGACATATTGTTCTGAAATAACATACTGTGAGTGATACGGGACAACAGCACATCTAGAAAACTCACCACACCACTCACAGTATATGTTATAGAACCATAGTGTATCTGGGAAGATTCCCCACCCTGTGTGATCTAGGAGGAAATCACATCTAGATAACGCAGCATTCCAATCAGGGTGGGGAGTCTTCCTAGATACACTATGGTGTTACAACGTATACTGTGAGTGGTGTGGTGAGCTGTCCAGAGGCTCGGTCTTCCCGTGTCATACTGTGAGTGCGGTGTAGATTTTTCTAGATGCGCTGTCCTCCCATATCATATTGTAAGTGCTACAATGAGCTTTCTAGATACACTAGATCCCTAGCGTGGAATATCTCATAACTTACATCCCATGTGGATCTTCCTTGTCCGTATCCATCCCTTCACTGTGACTGGAATAAAACAAATGAAACAGTTTTTTAGCATTGGCAAACAAAACCATATGTATATTCCATATAGGGGACACACAATGTACCCCCAAGCCCATTATATGAATACTCCATATAGGGGACACACAATGTACTCCCAAGCCCATTATATGAATACGCCATATAGGGGACACACACACACATAACATACCCACTGCCCATTATACGAATATTCCATATAGGAACCCCCAGAACCCAACATGGTATTCCTACATTACGTGTACCTGCCTTAATGAGAGTGGGATGTACCCAAAAAACAACATTTTTCTGGAGGTAAAAATCCTAAAGAAAACTGAGCAGCTCTTTAATGCGAAGATGCATTTTCATTTATTTATTTTTTGGTGACAAAATGTGAACATATTACCCAAAAATGGATTTAAAAAATTTTGGGGGAATTGCAAAAAAATAAAATGGTATTTTTTCCCCCATAAATACATATCTTGGCACATAGTATATCTGGCAAATCGGAAGATACTTACTCAAAAGAAAATCCATCAAGCCTAAAAAACAAACCAACAACAACGAAAAAAAAAAGTTTTAGTCAGCAAATTTTGTAAATATACAAATTGGAAATGAAAAAAAAATGCTAATATTTTTCTTATTTCTGAAATTATTATTATTATTATTTTTTTTTAGTAATGCATGCATCTAGAATATATGTAACTGAAGCACAGCCTGCTGGTCAAGAGGCAGAGTCAGGTGACGCCCCATCTATACAGAGGGGAGCAGAGTCAGGGGACGCCCCATCTATACAGAGGGGAGCAGAGTCAGGGGACGCCCTATCTACACAGAGGGGAGCAGAGTCAGTGGACGCCCTATCTACACAGAGGGAAGCAGAGTCAGGGGACGCCCTATCTACACAGAGGGGAGCAGAGTCAGGGGACGCCCTATCTACACAGAAGGGAGCAGAGTCAGGGGACGCCCTATCTATACAGAGGGGAGCAGAGTCAGTGGACGCCCTATCTATACAGAGGGGAGCAGAGTCAGGGGACGCCCTATCTATACAGAGGGGAGCAGAGTCAGGTGACGCCCCATCTATACAGAGGGGAGCAGAGTCAGTGGACGCCCTATCTATACAGAGGGGAGCAGAGTCAGTGGACGCCCTATCTATACAGAGGGGAGCAGAGTCAGTGGACGTCCTATCTATACAGAGGGGAGCAGAGTCAGTGGACGCCGTATCTATACAGAGGGAAGAAAGAGTTAGGGGAACCCATATCTATACAGAGGGGAGAAGGAGTTCAGGAATATGGTATTAAGGACAGAAATTCCAGACACACAAGGCTGTAGTTGTAAGGTCTGTAAAACAGTCTAGCTATGTGCCATGGATGAGAACTGCAGTCACAGCTGTAGATACACATTAACAGGATCGTTCAAATGTTGCTGGGAAACACACCTCTGGAAAGAGCTAGGTTCTGCATACAAAATAGAGAGATAGATCTATATCTATATATCACAAACATACTACCCCCCATAATTCATTGCTGACAGTATATGAGACGCTCCCTGCACGTTATTACGGTTCAGATCACAAACTTTACACGTATAGCATTTTTGAAAAACAACTTCTGTGTCAGGGCCACAAACCTAAAGAAAAACCTTTAATGTTGCTGCAGTCTGTACATTTCATTCTTTATTTAAATATCAGCGTTATCACTGGAAAAATAGTTTAAAAATTGGATTAGTGAGTGAGAAAGCTCTGTGGAGTTTTCAAAATGATTTATTTTTAACTTTTCATTTTTTTGGTTGCACTCTAATGTACGATTTTTGGGTCTAGTTCAGAAGATATAACATTTGCTGAATTGATGTGAACATGCAGTTTCGTAATCTCATCATTGTACCTGAAACAGGTATAATGTGCTAAAACATGTGTCTTACAAATGATGCAAACGTTAGTTATTCATTAAACAGGGATCTGCTATCTGACAAGGGAATGGTAATTTTTTGTCCAAAGTATCAAGCATCAGAGTTTTAATATTTTTCCAGTGAAATCATATGGGCGAGAACGTGCGATTTTCTTGTCAGTTCGTTAGAATTCCAGGTTTAGTGGATACAGAGTCTTTTAATGTATAAACATGACAAAAAAAAGTTTGTGAAAAATTAACTACTCACTGATAATCTGTTAAACTCCCCTTTCTTTTGCGGTTACAATCCATGCCGGCTGAGCCATGGGAACTAGATATGAGGTCAGTAGAGCCCGGGGACATAAAATCGCTGATTGTAGACGAGATGTCCATTCTTTGGTCGGCCATTGGACCATCTGTGAAAGCCAAAGAGGAGATGTGTCAGCCACGAGCAAGGTTTCAGAATGGCAGCAGTAGTCCTAAAAACCTTCTTTGGTTATAAAACTAACTGAATTTAGTCTCTCGGGTTTCACTTATACAACATGCAGGAAGCCATGAAAGGGTTAGCTTCAGAGAGCAGGTTATTTAATTACCGCCTGGGATCTATATCTCCTGCACAAACACAGGCTCACGCACATTTTACATAATGGAGGAGCATGACCCACAGCGCATCACAAAACGCCAACTGACCCACCTGAAAGATGCAGATCTGGATGTGTAGAAACCGATGCGGCTAGCAGATCCCGTCACCTACTGACCATCATTAACACCTCACCTACCAGTAATTTCTGAAACAGCAGAGAGATAAACAACACTAAATAGACGTTAACTGCTTTAAAAAGGTATTTAGTATCAGCACTGGAAATCATGTTAAAATAGATGCAACTATGCTAAGCCATTTATAGGGAATAAAGTAAGGGGAGATTTATATAAAAGGCTGAAAAATAAATTTAAAATAAATAAATAAAAACTCACAGAATTCACTGAAACTATATAGCTAAACAAAAACTTTTCATAGTAAGACTGGATAGGCCTTCGAACAAACAGTTTTTAAAGGGTTATCCCAAGCACCCTGACTAGTCACTGATTTGAAGTGGTCATGGTGCCTGGAGTCTGTATGTGCAGTGTTTCACTTTGAAAAGCTACCCATACAGAATGTAACCCCACTGCTACCAGAAATCTAATTTCATCTCCAGCCGGTTACTAGCTTCTGTGAAAAGTTGGCGTCCGACACCAACCCGCACAGTATGTGTAGCCAGACAGCCAATGGAGTAATGGATATAACAAGCCGTCGGGACTCAGTGTGGCTGTACAAATACAGAGACAACATGGGACAGGCTGCTGCTGGTAATCTGTGCGGTGTGTCCATGGGTCAGAGAGTGCTGGCGTGTGTGTGTGTCACAATCACATCAAATAAAGTCAGTACATACCACATACGCCTGCACACATCACAGGCATGAACACAGACACACACACACACACACACAGGGCAATTCACAAGACTCCAAATTTTTGCAAAATAAATCCAAATGCCAAAGTGAGGAAAAGACAACCATGATGTGACTATAACAAAGTCAGAGTTCAGCAAATAGACCTTTCAATGTCCAGGGCTCTTGGCAGTGGCCCCAATCTTTTTAAATTTAAATTAATTTATGTCAGGAAAAGTAGAATTTCATGACAGACACATAGATTGGGCTACCACTTTAGTAGATTTACATTATTTTTTTTTAAATCATAATAATTCCACAGTCCTGAATGCATAACCATCATAAGAGATGGTGGATTAATTTTAGATTTTTACCAATAAATACATCAAATGCCTTTCCACCTCTCTTGTTCTACAACGTCACCAGCCACATCAGGTTACATCACGCACAGACAGAACACAGTTCACCGTTCTGGGAAATACAGGGATTTAGTTCGACAGGTTTCTGACGTTATTTGGGAAGATCCAATTGTACATGCACAATCCAACATAGCTAAGCTGTGACCATAAATCAAGTTATTTTTGCCCAAATTTTGCAGTTTGGTTTTCAATTCATAGCGTTATTGAGTCTTTGCAAATGTTAACTATTTCTAATAATTTTTATTTTTTATTTTAAATCCTATGATTTATAGAAAGACTAACAAAACCCAAGCTGACTACAAAATTCCCAAAGGATCCATTATATACATTAATGTGTCAGTTGGCGATATATAATGAACTATATGAAATGGAACATTTTTTTTAAACCAATGTTCGGATTTTTAATAGACTGTTTTTGTTTATTTGGTTATGTGTCCAGCAGGGACATATGTGCACCCAGATCGTGCTGAACCATTTGCCAGAACCCATCCCACATACAAAGACTCCTGCTTTTGCAGACAGCATGAAATCTTATGGTATATTTGCTTTTTTTTAATTTTATTTATTTTTTTAATGTAAAATATATTTTTTATGCATTATCTATATAATGCATAAGGGGTATCCCTATAAGATAAAATATTTTCAAATAAAAGAAAAAAAATTAGCTGTAAAAAGTCACCAACAAAACATTTTATCTAATCGATGCACAGAGCAAATATTTTCACTATTCCCGCTATTAACCTTATTTGTCGGAGATTGTGTTATTTTGTATTCGTTTTGCTGACTGCAAACAGTGGGAAGGCTACAGGCCATATTAACAACAACAACCACCAGTGTGTGCGCAGGTGCTTAAACTGTCGGATGAACCCTATTTGGCGAAACGCGTCACAGGTGAATGGCCCTATTGCACCATGTGATCTGAGCTATGAGGTCTCTTCCCCTAACAAGCATGTCTTTATGAGGAGGGTGATTACACGGGAATCTTTTTACTGCAAACAGTATTCACTATGGATTTGTTCGTTTTTCTTTTGTAGGATACACTGTTATACAAGTATGGTTTTATATGCATTTATTTATTTTTTTGCACTAAAACAAGTTGCATTATATTGTATTTAAATTTATATGCAATTTATGTAAAATGTATTCACTTTCATAAGCAACACTGGTTAATTTAGAATACAAGCGATGTTTTAGATTCTGGAATGTAGAATACGATGAACCCAGCCTATAGAAATCCAGTTAGAGAAGAGCATGTTCACTTTACTATATGGAAAGACATTTTACAATATTACCATTATCACTGCTTGATAGGTTTTCCAACGTTTTATTTGAATTTCACATGGTGGGGTGGGAGGGGAAGATAATTGTAAAAACGTTATTTACCAAGTTGGTATTCCTGCATGCCTTTAATGCCATAGAATATAATTGGGCCAATAACCTTTATTTTATCTGTACGTTTGAGCGGTGTGGCCAATGAACACAATGTGGCTGAGCGAGGAAGAGTAAATTACTCATCTCTGAAACAGCTGCATGATTCCAGCCATCATGTGCACACAATCGCACTTCTCTGCAAATCAAGGTCACAGCAAGAACTAGGTTAACTGACTCAGCATCTGCGGCTGTCCTGATTACCCAATAATTTACCCAACAAGCCCCCACGACAAGCCCCGCTAATAGCTCACCCAACGAGCCCCCATGACAAGCCCCGCTAATAGCTCACCCAACGAGCCCCCACGACAAGCCCCGCTAATAGTTCACCAAACGAGCCCCCACGACAAGCCCCGCAAATAGCTCACCCAACGAGCCCCCACAACAAGCCCTGCCAATAGTTCACCCGAGCCCCCACAACAAGCCCCGCCAATAGTTCACCCAATGAGCCCCCACAACAAGCCCCGCCAATAGCTCACCCAGCGAGCCCCCACAACAAGCCCTGCCAATAGCTCACCCAACAAGCCCCATTAATAGCTCACTCAAGAGACCCCACAACAAGCCCCATTAATAGCTCACCCAACGAGCCCCCACAAACGCCCCCAAACCACAACACACCCTGTTAACATCCCACTCAGCAATCCCCCTCCCAAGACAAACCCACACAAAGTCCTAGGCTAGCAAATGTCTATTCTGTGCAAAACTGGCATCTGGCACAACCACGCACATCACGATGGCACCAAAACCAGCAGGCACCCCCTCTCCGTGCCATCCATGTCCTCCCAGCTATCCCCCATCCAGCAAATGTGTGTGACATCAGCCAAGGAGGATCAGCAATAAGCACAAGACTTTTTTGGGTGGTGTGGGGGGTGAATAGCATCAAAGCCATTACTACACTGGTTTACATAAACAGGTTTTTGGTTTTTTTGGTCCGAGTAAGGTGTTAAAAACCCACTCTTCAAAAGTTAACCAGTTCTCTTGTACCCTACTATCTGGCACACAGACCCCAGAGACAAGACACCAGCAGTGTCTGACCCAATTATCAAACACCAGTTACCCCAGAACATGGAAAACAAAAGGTCAGTTTATCCAAGCACAGACTGGTATTGGTTCCCTGACAGCCTGAATGAAAACGACTTCCTCCGCTGTGTGAATATATATATATATATATATATATATATATATATATATATATATATATATATATATATATATATATATATATATATATATATATATATATATCTATATCTATATCTATATCTATCTCTCTCTCTCCATACGGTGAGAAGATGGAAGGCAGTGTGTAATTGCTATTTGGTTTTTACAGAAAATAAAACTTCCTAAACTTAAAGACCCAATGATTCCTAACATGGGAAATACTAAACCTATATTTAGCAGGCTGTGGGAAATGGTTAGCCACAATTTTAATATATGAACTGGATAAATAAATAAAATAAAATATATATTCTTCTTGGCTTCTGTAATGAATAATAGAAAAACAAGCCTCTAATGATGCATTTCTAATTCCTACATACTACACATACTTGCATAATGTATTAATGGCGAGCATGGATCTCCTGTACACATTTAATGTTAATGCTATAGGTGAACGCACATTTAAACAATTTGCTATTGTTCCACCCTCAGAGTTTCAATTTTCATACAGTGCTAATTAGGGATGTTGTAACATATATAGAAAAATCAGACTGTACCTACAGTCTGTCTGGAAATAGCAGCACACTGCCAGACGCAATAAAACAAAATATACATGCTTAGTGCGTTTGTAATGTAACACTGCCCAGTAACACCCATACACAAGCGCTTGGGTAACACAGTGTACAGGTAGCCTTTCATCCTAGCTTGCATACATGTTAGGAAGGGATATCCCTTTTACATTCAGACAGATTGCTTCACATACATGCCTCTCACCCCTTCCCTCTAGCCAAAGCTGGCTAGTGTGCACATACCTCTCAAGGCACAGCAAGCTAAGGGCCCAAGTCTGGTTTACCCATTTTAAACCTTTTGTGTACATACACTAGGGATCCACCAATATAATTCAAGAGTCAATGCTGATACAGATTATCGTTCACCTTTTGGGATGATTCCTGTAACTGGTGCCAATATTCAATACGTTTAAAGTTTTGAAAAAAGCAACACAATTACTACACAAACTCTGGCATCAACTGAACATGCTGACTGCAATCACACTCCTATCACTCTCAGGCAGCCAAAACATGCTGGGATTGGTGAGATCCCAGCACGTATTGGCTGCCTGAGAAGCATAGCAACCACGCTCCGCATGTGGGTTCTCACCGACAGGGGTGACACGAGGTTGTCAAGTGGCGCCTAATTCTCGGTTTGGTAAATAAATTCCTTATTTTATACAGTCTGATTCTTGGTTTAGTAAATAAACTAATTTTACACATTGTTTAGGATACACTGCCCAAAACATGCTGGGATTGGTGAGATCCCAGCACGTATTGGCTGCCTGAGAAGCATAGCAACCACGCTCCGCATGTGGGTTCTCACCGACAGGGGTGACACGAGGTTGTCAAGTGGCGCCTAATTCTCGGTTTGGTAAATAAATTCCTTATTTTATACAGTCTGATTCTTGGTTTAGTAAATAAACTAATTTTACACATTGTTTAGGATACACTGCCAGCAAATGCATATATAAGACTGATAAAGATTGCATCTTACACCCATGATGTTAGCTTTTTGATATAAATTTAACTTTTATAGTTTTTTACAGACATTCAAACCTCTCCCATTTTATTCTGCAACAAAGCATTATGGGATTTTGTACTCGCTACCCAAATAACAAGCAGGACGGGTTTAACATTATTCAGGTTATTTACTAAAGGAAGAATCAAAGTGAACTTCATATTTAAGGCCAAACTACCAGAATTGGAAGCATTGCTGACTTGGAGAATATTTCCAATTTGACTACTTTGCCTCATTAATTTAATTTCACTTTGAATTCCAGACAAGTCCCACTTTAGTGAATAACTCTGAATTTAGTGGAATTGGAAGCCAGATTTTATCACTCACCTGTTGTGGGCCCTGCGATCCGTAGTTCTACACATACAGGTGACTTCTTGATAATAGTTGTATTTATAAAGTTGCATAATTCCATCACATCCTGTTTACTGGAGTTCTCTGGGTGCATCAACCTCTGAGCAGAAGGCGTCTGCACCAAGAATAGGTCCGGCCCCAGGTGACTGTACATCTAATAATACCAGAGGAAGATAGCCTGGTATTATTTCTGGATCATTATTAAACGCTAGCCTGGATTGTTCCAGATAGATACTGTGAGTGGGTTACTCTATATTCATCAAATCCTGTAGATAGTTTTCTGAATGGATCCAGGAGGAGATAAAGTAAGTATTTCTCACGGTCTACAATTAAACACTCGCCCACGTTCACGCACAAACAATTTAAAATAAATCCTTGAAATATTGTCGAGACAAAGCAATGACTTGAGTCAATGTATAGACCTGAAATATTAACATTTTCTTTCTTTATTTACTACCGGTTTACCAATGGGTGCCCTGAGCACCACATCTGCAGTTCTTTTGGTGTTAATGCATTTAACAAGAATGGGCGACGGTAATGGATGTGAGTAATTAATGTTTATCAGACCTTCTCAGATGAAGAGTGCTACATCAGGGTTCAACAAACATGGAAACAGAAATTGTACCTGGCACCGTGTCCCTAAAAGTAATGGGAGGATTCCTGTGGGCTGTGTGAGTTGTGACAGAAGTGACATTTTGGTATCCCAACAGAGCATTGGGATGTGGTTACATGGTAACACTGCATCCCAGATCTGTGAGTAAGGATTCACCAGAGGAAGGAAAGAAGTGCAACTGAAACTGTGTCTGTCACAATGCAACACCGGAAAAGCTTACTTTTCCACTTACACCAGGAAATGAATACTGCACCTCCAAATCTCTACCCTGCCAATGTGCATGTACAGGAGAGTGCTCTGCTAATCTGGATGGCTTGGCTAAATAAGTTATTAACCCTTGGTGAGACAGACGTGCACCAATGTTTTGCAACATACTGTACACAACTACGGCACTTGAAAGGTTAATAGAAAATTTGCCGGGCTGCAATTGTAGGGTGCCCATACAGGGTCTAGTTTGGCTATGACATCTGTGCTGGGAGCACAGGAAAAACAAAACAAAAATGCTTCTGGCACACTTTTAGTTGGCGCACTAGAAAACAGTGTTGCCAGGGCGTGTGTCTATTCAGTAAATTCAAGGTCACAAATTGAAAACCGGTTTCCCCTCTTTACACTGTGCAAAATCTACATAGCGGCCATTAATTCTGTAAGAGATCATTCGGAAGCTAAGCTTCTGCACGGAAGCAAATAAAAATCAATATTTATTCCAGCAGCAGCCAGTTACACACACACACATACACACAAAATCTAAATTGTTTTTGATTTATTTCATTTGATAGGGTTTGCAATATTCTACCGTTGTACTTGCAATCACACAGAGTTTTGGCGTAGAGTTCAGACAATTAAACGGACAGCCACACACACACACACACACCCCATTAATAAGCCATCTGGCGCAAGAAAATGCTGGAATTTGTGTCAAAGTATAAAAAAAAAAATTATATATATATATATATATATATTTTTTTTTTTTTAAACTGGGGCAAAATTCAGAACTAAAATATAAGAAAAGACGGCCTTGCCCAACACTAAACTGCCTTTTTCTAGGTGCGTCCAGTAATATGGTGGGCTAAGAGCTGTAGGATGGCCGCTGGTTCAGGGTTTCTTGTGATAGATCTGCAAGTAGTCATCCTTTGTGGCATTGGGGCCTACTGTAATTTAATTATAAAACGCCTCCAACTATTTCCTCTCATCATCTCTCCCTACCCTCTGTAAGCATTTCCCCACACTTGGACTTAATGGAAAACTAAGTTGCTGAGATATCAGTGCAGTTCCCTGGAAGTGGAGTGTTAAAAGGCTACAGGGTAAAATTCACACCAAGTCCCTTTAATGGCAGTAGTGAGGGTACTTAACTATTTGGAGATGATCCAACTTCACTGGAACTTAATTAAAATGGGAGTCATTTACCGGCCGCACCAGACAGATATCCAAGTCCATACCAGGCCAAATACTTTATCAATGCACAGCTCGCATTCTTGCATGCATATTTGTTTATTCTGTCTGCAATGAAATCGTTACCTTTCATATAGAAGGTGTTTGGCCTTGATTTCATATATATGTGGTTTAAAGGAACCCTATAGCGTCAGGAATACACGTATGTATTCCTAACGCTATAGAGCCCTAATCACCTAAACGGTTAACCATTTATTTGCTTACCTTAATCCAGTGCTGGGCTCACTCGGCGCTGGTGACCTCTCCTCCTCCATCGACATAAGCTCCCGAGTGGAACCGAATGCGCATTCACGGCGAGAGGTGTGCGTGCATTCAAACCCGCCCTTAGGAAAGCATTACTCAATGCTTTCCTATGGGGGATCTTATTTGACACTGGAGGTCTGTGAGGACTTCCAGCATCAAATAAGTGCAATTTACTCAGTGTAAATCGTGGAAGCGCCTACAGAGGCTGTCAGGGAGACAGCCACTAGAGGCTGGATTAACCCTGCAGGGTAAAGCTGCATGGTTAAAATTAGGGTGACCTGGCACCCAGACCACTTCATTGAGCTGAAGTGGTCTGGGTGCCTATAATGGTCCTTTAATTATTGGATACATCAAGGGGGCAACATAATGTGACAAAGTTATGCAAAACCGCTTCACAAGAAACACTGAGGCATTTGAAGAGTAATACATAGTAACAGACAGTAACCAAACTCCACTTAAATGCAATCTACTTGTAATTTATTACCGGTAGTTGCTGCAGGAGAGAGAGACCGGGTTATTCATTCTGGACTGGCACAGGTTAATGAACCTTTTTACATCAATCCTTAAAAGAAAGAGTCACAGAGACGTGAATTTTTCAGTAAACTGAGTTCTGGGGAATTTGCTATTCTTCCAATCAGTTGACATCTGATGGTATCGGGCTTTAGCGACTATTTAGCATACCCACCAATTGATTCACCCCCAGGGTTTCGGTTAAACAAGCACCTTGTAAAGAGAATGCAGTTCTAGAAGTTCTAAGGTAAAAACGCTAAGTATGGGGTTCAGCAGGCTTGATTTAAATATCGGACAAGACACAATAAAAGTGTTAGAGGTAGAAATGAAATCTGTGTAACTGGAAACAATAAATGACAAACAAGGGCAATAGGCCTTCCTCCCAACTAGGTCACGGCTGTATCCTCTAGACACGGATTAACCCTTTAAAAAGGACACTATTATCTAACAGATGAGGACCTAGCCTAATTAGACGATCCACAATAACACAATTTCTACTCAACACCTAGATAATTAAATGTATTCTATGTACAAATGGAATATAGCCGACATTAAACCTACCAAAGCCACTGACAGACAGACTGTTATATCCCACCAGCAGGCAAACCACCCAGAATAAGGAAAAGAGCATGTACCACTCTCTGTAGCATGGCCAGTGAGTAGAAACAGATATTAGGTAAAAACACACTGCTATAGGTCAGTGAGTGGCTGGTACCAGGGTATACCATACAGTATAGTCAGACAGTCCAGGAGAACAACAAAAGTTGTCATACAATTCAACTACCAGCTATACACAGCTTAACCTACTTCAGATAAGACAAGGCAGTCCAATCAAGGTAACACAATGGAAGCTATGACATCACTAACATTTCCCCTCTGGGAAGTACAGAAAGAGGGTGACCAGAAATTATATTTCAGCAGTCACACAGTCTATTTACCGTGAAGATGAGCACAATGTGCGGCGACTTTAAAGAGAACAGAGCAGAATTAAAGCCTCGCACATTTTGTGCTATTGCAAGTGATGAATTATAGGCTGAACTACAAAGGAACGTGTGACTTCTCCAAACACACACACACACACACACACACACACCATATACCACCTGTACAATGGGAACTATAAAAACAGCAAAATCTGTGCAAGGATTTGTGGCCATATTCTATATATACACACACACAAACACATTCTGCAGCTCTTCAAACGTTCCACAGTGTGGATGTTGACAAGTTGCCCAGTTATATTCATACAATATTTAGGTTTCATCCTTCATTCCATTTCTCCTTTGGAGGGTGGGAGTAGATCTGCAGCAGATATATAGTGGCTAGGGGGATTCACCAAGCTCCGTAGCCTACATATTATAAAAGGACCAGTGAGTCCACAAGTCCTCTAGTCTCAGGACCTCCCTTAATGGCCTCATTAAAGGAACACAAGTCACTAAAACAAATTTAGCTTAATTAAGCAGTTTTGGTGTATAGATCATGCCCCTGCTGTCTCACTGCTCAATTATCTGCCATTTAGAAGATAAATCACTTTGTTTATGCATCCCTAGGCACAGCCTTCCTAAACACCTGTAAAAAGAGTCATCTAATGTTTACACTCTCTTTATTGCAAATTCTGTTTAATTTAGAATTTTATTAAAGACACGGAGGCGAGTATTATGCATATCTCTTTCTTTATTACTCTCAGCAGCAAAGAAATAGAGATAAATAAATAACTGAAAGAACAAAAAAAAATACAGTGTTCAAGTAACCAATCACATAACAGAGGAAGTGACTATAAAATACTTGAAGCACCCACAATCCCCCTCTTTCTTTGCTGCTCTCAGACCAGTTAAGTACATACTTTTTCTGTTCTGATCTGTTATTGATTTACTATATTATGTTTACATGGTTTTTTATTTATATCTGCTCCTAGTTCTTATGTGTAGTTGCTAGGAGCTTGAGTGTTTTTACTGCAGTCCTTTTTGTGTCTTTTATCCCCTGTGGGTTTTTCTCCCGGGCGGGCCGTCGCGGCCGCATTAGGCTGTGCCGCCTCCCGCCCCCTCCCACCCCGACCGCGTCTCTGCGGCTGGCCGGGGATCTCCCCTGTCTCGGGGGATTTGTCTGCTTACACGCCGGCGAGCCTCCGCTTACCTAGGCGGCGGCTCCCGGGTGTGTGTACAGGTCGGGCCGCGCTGTGTTCACGCGTGCGCCCCCTCCCCCACCTGTCCTCCTTCCTCGTGCGGCGGCCATCTTGTGTCCGTCGGCCACACTCCCCTGCCGGTTATTTCTCGTCCCCTGAGGGCTGACTGTGCAGGCTCGTTTCACACCTGTGGGGTAGGAGTTTTTCGTTGTTTAGCATATGTATATGTATTTATATGTATATTTTCGATTTGACTTGTTTTCAGTAATGTATTTTCTCTTTTGATTTCCATGTACTTATGTTTTCTGTGGCTATCTTTAACCCTGTTCTGCTCCTGTCCCTTTGGGTTATTAAACCCTAATTCTGTCATTATTTTTCCTATATACTTATCTGCCATTTTTCCTCCCCGGAGAGCATCTCCTTTAACATATCCAGGAGAACGAAGTCGGCTTCGAAGGTGTTTGTTTACCCTAGATTCCAGGGAAACCCGGCTCTCTGTCCAGTCGAATGCCTTCAGGCCTACCTCGAAGTTACTCGACCGTTGCGATCCCCGGAGCTGTGCCCCTTGTTCATCTCGCTTCGAGCCCCGCACCTTCCGGTGTCTACTCCTACGTTGGCGAGATGGGTTCGGGAATTGTTATCTCTGGCCGGGATCGATACGTCCAGATTCACCCCTCATTCAGTCCGCGGAGCTATGGCCTCCAAGGCGGCGGCTATGGGCTGCCGCCTAGAAGATATTCTGCGTGCGGCGGATTGGTCACGGGAAACGACCTTTCGTGATTTCTACTTCAGGCCGATTGACCATTTTGCATCTCAAGTGGTTTCTAAGCTTTAAACTTGCATAATAGGAGCCTCTGTGTCTTTAATAAAATTCCCAGATTTTACTATTAACATGACGTAAAGTCATGATTTTATTAAAGACACGGAGGCGAGTATTATTCCCACCCACCCACCCGGTTGGGGTTGGGCATTGGCTGGTATGGTGGGTAAGTATGATAAGTTCGTTATTAATAGTTTTTTTGATTGTATGTGTTGTATCTGACTTTCCTATATATATTGGGGTTTACATTTATGTCCCTTATAGCTGTATTACCGTATTTGGGTGTGTAGAGTTTGAGTTGGACGTGCTGTTCTATTTATCTTAATTATGCACATACAGTTGGAGTCCAGTTATTACCTTCTTCTTTTTCTGTGTCTCCTTTAGCCTGAATTCTTCGTGATTTGCCATATTGGAGCTGCGGTTGGCTACGTTAGCCGAAGTTGGATGTTCTGTATTTGGTCTTCGTTATCCGCAAGAAAGAGGGGGATTGTGGGTGCTTCAAGTATTTTATAGTCACTTCCTCTGTTATGTGATTGGTTACTTGAACACTGTATTTTTTTGTTCTTTCAGTTATTTATTTATCTCTATTTCTTTGCTGCTGAGAGTAATAAAGAAAGAGATATGCATAATACTCGCCTCCGTGTCTTTAATAAAATCATGACTTTACGTCATGTTAATAGTAAAATCTGGGAATTTATTATCACCTGCTCTGTTAATAGCTTGCTAGACTCTGCAGGAGCCACCTGTATGTGATTAAAGTGCAATTACTGAGCAGATACAAATTTTGAAAGTAAGTTACATCTGATTGAAAGCAAAAAACATTTTGTTTTCATGCATGTTGTGTCAGTCACCGCCACGGGAGGGGTGGCTAGGGCTACATAAACAAAAGGGATTTAACCCCTAACGGCATAGAATGGAGCTGTGAAACTTCAGAGGCATGATCGATACACCAAAATTGCTTCATTAAGCTAAAGTTGTTTTGATGCCTATAGTGTCACTTTAATAAGAGTAAACCTTGAGACAATATCACTGCATGAAATGAAGGGTTCTCAAAACTTCAACTCTCCAGATGTTACCTAAAGGACCACTATAGGCAGCCAGACCAATTCAGCTCAATGAAGTGGTCTGGGTCCCAGGTCCCTCTAGTTTTAACCCTGCAGCTGAAAACATAGCAGTTTCAGAGAAACTGCTATGTTTACATTGAGGGTTAATCTAGCCTCTAGCTGCTGTCTCACTGACAGCCACTAGAGGCGCTTCCGCGATTCCCACTGTGAAAATTACCGTGAGAAGACGCTGACGTCCATAGGAAAGCATTGAGTAATGCTTTCCTATGGGCGGTTTGAATGCGCATATGGTGCTGATGTCGGCAGAAGGAGGAGAGTTCCCCAGCACCGAGAGAGCTTGGCGCTGGAGAAAGGCAAGTGGCAGAAGGGGTTGTAACCCCTTACGCCCAGCGGGATGGGGGCCATGAGCGTGGGGGGGACCTAAGGACTACATAATGCCAGGACAATGAGTGTTCCTTTAACTATAACTCCCATGATTCTTTAATTGAAATAGATGGCCAGAGATTCATGGGAGTTCTGGTTCAGCAACATCTGCAGGGGAAGAGTTTGAAGAACCCTGCATGATTAGAGGATTAACCTGCAACACAAAGGTTGTGCCGTTTCAGAATATCAGATTAATGTCATCAAAATAGTGTTTAAAATCTTAAACTATCTGAGTAATGGGCACGTTTTTCGAGCCCAGGATCTTTATCTGAAACATGGGTTTTTCTCTTTAAGGTATTCTTAGAGGGCTTTACTGCAGACGATTGGATTGTAACACTACTATGGATTGAGTCCGCACATTGTGTGGACTATATTTCACATGATGCCGAGCCAGCAATTACAGTAACGGGGGTAAAAGTATGACCACCAGAGTAATGGAGCTAATTACGCAAATCGGGCAGCTTTTAAACCAGTAGACGGTTTTTCTTACACTGTGGTTTGTACATCCAACATCTCTTCATCACTATTCAGGGCACACGACTGCTGCTGGTTGCTAGGTAACTGCTTAAACAGCAATATTAATTGTGTCACACAAGAGTATCCTTTACTGACAAAAGCTGAAGAACACAAAATGGAGAGCAACCCATGGAGTATTAGAATCCGCACTGGATAAGTTAAGATTTCATTTTTAACTCTTTAATAATTGGAAAATGTTCTAAATAGGTTTCAAGAAAAAAAAAAAAGAAAAAAAATATAATTAATTAGAGGTTACTTTTTTCTTGTCAATTTTTTTTCCCCCTCCAAACCTGGGATAATTTGTGAACACATTATTTTAGGATAAATCTTTGTTCAGGGATAATTCACAAAATTAAAGTAAAAATTTAATTTACTTACAATTTATTCCCCCTCTCTCTCCCCCCCCAAAAAAACTCCAACAGATATGATAGATCGATAGATAATACACACCTCTTTTACCAAAAACACTTCAACATAACATTTAGAAAACAAAAATAAAGAGGCGCTTGTTCTACATTTTACAGTAATCTGTACATAACAAGAGAAACCCCTATATGCTGTCTCACTTCACTCCTTCCTAATCTGGTTTACACAAACTGAACGCTGAACTCCTGGGTAAAGAGTAATTGAAATAAGGGTGAAATTACCCGCTGTTGAGGCGCTGCAAAAAACTGTTACTCTATGCACAAGTAAAATGAAAAAAAAAAAAAAAGAAGAAATAAGGGTGAAAGAATATTCACAATAAATTTTCATTTTATAATGTTGCAACCAAACTAAGCCACCCATGGAGATACTTACAATTTTACCCGTTCTACCTAGATGACTAATCGTAATTTCGTCATCCACTTCATATGCATCTTTGTAACATAAAATGAAAAAAAATGGAAATGGATGTTCATCATTTTCTGAGCCTTTTGTCCTCAAAAGCTGTGACGCACATGCAAAACCCAGAAAACGAGCGGTCAGAGTAAAATTTTGATAAAAATGCACTATTTTCACTGTGAATACCGGGCAGTGAACATCATATCCCAAGATGGAACAAGCAGGCAACCGTAGCAAAATATTATTTCCCCCAAAAGAGTGGTGGAAGCATGGAACGGATTTCCAGTAAAGAGATTAAAGATTAACAAGGCGAAGTGCTATTTTTACAGCTATAACCGTGAGAAAAGTAAATGTTTAATGGATTTAACATGTTGTAATGCATCATTTAGACCAAAACCAGTTTTCCAATGGTTACAAATTAGAAGATCATAAAAAACGAAAGCTGTATCAGTGTACATGTGTAAAGGAAGACCGTGAAGGTTATCCATTAAACCAGAAGTTGTATTATGCAAGCCAACATATTAAGCTTTACCAGTCTGAATTACATTATATCAGACAGGTAATCTCCTACCTCTTAAAACAGCATGGCTTTATTTAGTAAAACAGACTGTGGGGGTTTCAGATGGTAGTCTTTCAGGAGTTTAGTTTACCAAAATGTTTCGCTTAAAGGGACACTATAGTCACCTGAACAGCTTTAGCTTAATGAAGCAGTTTTGGTGTATAGAACATGCCCCTGCAGCCTCACTGCTCAATCCTCTGCCATTTAGGAGTTAAATCCCTTTGTTTATGAACCCTAGTCACACCTCCCTGCACATGACTTGCACAGCCTTCCATAAACACTTCCTGTAAAGAGAGCCCTATTTAGGCTTTCTTTATTGCAAGTTATGTTTAATTAAGATTTTCTTATCCCCTGCTATGTTAATAGCTTGCTAGACCCTGCAGGAGCCTCCTGTATGTGATTAGTGTGAAAGTGAAACCAGTTTTTTTTTTTCAATGCAGGCTCTGTCAATCAGGGGAGTCAGGGGAGGTGTGGCTAGGGCTGCATAAACATAAACAAAGTGATTTAACTCCTAAATGACAGTGAATTGAGCTGTGAAATTGCAGGGCAATGATCTATACACTAAAACTGCTTTATTTAGCAAAAGTAATTTAGGTGACTGTAGTGTTCCTTTAAATACAAATACCAGAGAGAGGATCATTGCTGGATTTTGATGTGATTAATGAACACACAAACGGCCTTCATCAAATGCCTTGACACCCCTCATTTTCACCTAGCCTTTTACATGAAACAGTATTATATACTAAAAAGTGAGAATTTAAAGCCTGCATAGAGGAACAAAAAGCATAGCTGACCTAGGCAACTTTTTCACTTCAGCTATTTTGACCTCAAATTTTAAATTGATGTTGAATTCTTGCTTTAGTGAATAAGCCCGGGATAAATCAGTAAATTACAGTTCCATGTGGACTAGGAGCACACGTCACAGCTCAAAAACAACAAAACTAGGATATACATACAGAGGCTTCTGACATTACATAGGAATATCCAGCCCATGCATCTGTATTAAAATTACAAAACTATAGCATTTATTCACAATAAAAACAAAATGCACTGAACTGCAAAGCAAACTGCTAAACGTAGGCTTTAAAAGCCAAGCCGTGAAAACTGCAACAGCGAAGTGGCAGAAACATTAAAATTTTGTGTTTAATGGATAAACCCCCTTTATCGTTCGTTCGTTCATTTCATTGTAGCAATGCAATGTTTTGTGGACCGAGGATATACTTGAAAAAGAGAGAAATGTCAATATATCCATCCTGGTACAATATTTTATAAATAAAATCAATTTTAAGTTTGAGCGGTATGAAATTTGTAGTTCTGGAACAGTTTTTGAGGGGCTGACAGGGTGGCCATTCCAAGACTCTACATAGTAACAGAGAAAACAAAATTAATTTTCCACATGCAGTTTGCGAATCCGCAGCAGCTTCATCTCCCACCCTAACTGAATAACCCTCTAGGTATCAGGAAGGATGCTTCTCTGGTACACGAAGCGTTAAAACAAAACACCAGAAGTAACTCCTACTCGCACCAGCCTTCAGTCACTAAAAAGAGAAACACTGAGTCACAATCCCTTTAATAATTGTCTTCTATCACGCGCAGAATTAAAAAAAGGCACAGCTTCTAAAAGCAAACCGATCGTCACAGTAAACGCAGTTACGTTTAAAATACAATGACTCATTTTTTCGCAGAGGACAACGCAGTCGAAGGAAGCAGTTTAAAAGCTGCATATATTTTTCATCAGTTCCTCTCCCACAGAAACACACAGGGATACACCATGACGGCTCTTACAGCCATTGGTTGTGCCTCTCTCAGTCTGTCTCATATTAACCCACTGACCTAAATGTTTGGAAAGCATGGGCTACTCAGAGACAGCAGCCTGGGAGCTCTTTAATCTCTTAGTCACTAATAGGATGAATTTACAGGACCCCTGATATGCCACATCAGATATGAATGTGTCAAGATAAAATGGCAATTACAGGGGAAGAGCTCGATCTTATAGCGTGCATGCAATTAACAAATTAAGCAAAGCATCATCTGCAACCAACTTCAGCTCTTCCCATTAAGAGACTCAGAACTTGAAAGTTGCAGGACCAGGAAATTACAGCATCGTGAAATGATATAACTATACAGCAGAATGTGAAGAAGAGAAAGTACTAAATATTAAATGCCATAGGGGTACCACCTGCTGAGAACTGGTCAGTTTTCCCAACTAGGACTCCACAAAGGGGTGAAAGCTGTGCCTTATGCATACTCCATGAAATGATTTCAATCCTGAAACATGATTCTTGCAGCCTAATCCTTCTGGGAAAATCAGAAGAAAAAAAAACGGAAAAAAAAAAAAACACACACACACCAGGTTATCAGGAACTGGGAATTTGTAACTCTGTGTCCAAGGACAGTATACATAAAAACGACACTCAACATGCATCTTAAAGTGGTTTTGGTGCACCATACCAGGTTTAAAAAAAAAAAAAGTTTAATTATACCAAGAACACGCCTCTAGGGGACGTCCGACTGTAAACCACTAGGGCTGTTTCTTACCTAAAGAATTTCAGCTATTGAAACGTTTCACATTCAGCACCTTTACACAATGCATGCTGCTGCCAAACGCCGTGAATGCTTCTCATAGTTAAGAAATGGGACTCTGAGAAGCAACCAATAGCCTGCGTTTAAAAAGCAGTTTAGTTTGGTGTTTTTTGTAATCTCATTTTAAAAGGTAGGACCATAACCTTAAAGTCCTAAGGAACACCGCAACATATATATTTATATATATTTATATATATATATATATATATATATATATATATATATATATATATATATATATATATATATACATACATACATACATATATATATATATATACACACACACACACACACACACACGCTTTAATCTAGTCACTGAAAGGAGAAAGTTTTATTAAATTATCCAACTCCATTATTTTCCTGCTAGTTAAGCAGATATTTGCATTTTCTTGGCCAATTTCTGGCAATTCACTGTTTAGAGTAAAACGGTCAGCCTATGTTTCAAGATTGCATATTTTGGCCCAAAACTTGCAGTCATCCATCTTTCCCAGTTTAGGGATTAAATCTAATATCTAGATGAAACAATGCATCTTCTAATTACGATTTAGAAGGGAAAATATTCATATAGTACACAAAAGTGAGATTGTAGGCAGACCTGAGGTGAAGGAAATAGCATATGTATTCGCCATCTACTTTGTCAGTTGAAGGTTAAAGCGATGCTATAGGCACCCAAACCCAAACTTTCAGAGAAACTGCAATGTTTATATTGCAGGGTTAAGACTGCCTCTAGTGGCTCTTTACCAAACAGCCACTAGAGGCGCTTTGTCGATTTATACAGTTTATCTCTATGAAACGATGCTGGACATCCTCGCACTTTGTAAGAAAATGTCCACGGTCTTAAAATCACCCGTAGGAATGCATTGATTCAATGGTTTCGGATGGGAAAGTCCTAATGCGCACTCTGTGCTTGCGAAATTGGATCCCGGATCATGCAAACGTCTGAGGAAGCAGAGAGCGATCAAGTGCCGAGAGACCTTGGGGCTGGAATTAGATAAGTATCAAAAGCTTTAGAACAGTTTGCCTGGTGTCTGCCGCACGCAACTCCATGTCTTGTCTCCTTCCAACGAAGAGCCAGAAGCCCTTTGTCTGATTTAAACTAGGCCGTGCAGATGTCAAATTGTTCTAAAATGGTTTGACTTAAAATGGGGAGTGCATAGGCCCTCCTGGCACCATAACCACTATAGAGTGTTGTAGTAGTTATGGTGCTTGAAGTGTTCCTTTAAGTATCTGTATGTCAAAAGCATCGAAAGGTAACCACAAATTAATTTTTAGAAATGCATGTAAATTCTAAATGTTTTACGCCAATACAGAAATATTCAATAGAGGTTATTTCTGGGATTATAATTAGCATTTGACATACAAAACCTCAGTAAATTCATAGACTATGGCTGCAATAATGCGGAAAACCACAACAAATACAGGTACTTGACTTTAAAGCGTGCAATCTACGCGTCTGAAGTTCTAAACAACTCAACTAGCTGAAAAAAATAGAATGAGAATTCCTAAAATAAAGAATGGAATATTAACAGCACTGAAATTCCACAGGACAAAATAAAGTCCTTCAAACACAACAAAACATATTAAGGACATCTGATATGTCCCCAAATATTAAAAACCCCCGACTAGCAGGTGACATATTAAGGGTACCCTCCAAAAACCAGGCAACATATTGGGAATTGTTCAATAACCTGAGGAGGTATTACAGTTCAATACACATACATACAAGGTTATTCAGTAAAGTGAGAATTCAAAGTTAATTTCAAAATTTACTAAGGTTAAGACTATGCATTCACTTTGGCTATTTTGACCTTAAATTTTAAATTCTGACTTTAGTAAATAACTGATAGGTTTATTCAATAAACTCTGAATTGAAGTGTATTAAAATCTGAAAAGCAAAAATGTAGCTAAAATACCCAAGTTGTGACTAGAGTAAAACTGGAGAATTTTATTTTATTTCCCTGACCCACTGCTTTTGGATAATTTTGCAATTCAGATTTTAATTTGCTCCACTATTGAGTTTAATGGAAAACAAACAAGGTTATTCACGAAGTGTGAATTGCCAGGAATACCAAATAGAATTTTCAAATTCAAGCCATGCTGGCAAAACAGCTGAGCTGAAGAATTCCTTATTTAGGTAATAACCTTGTCTGTGTGCTTACTGGGAATCTGCTGACCATCACCACTTCAGACTGCAGACAGTTAACACCTCTTAGGGGGGTCATTATTCTTCCTTATTGCTCTTTCAATTATCTTTTTACATGCATAATAAAAATAAAGACATAAAAAAAAAAAATTTAAAAAAATTAAACTAGTGACATAATAAGACCACAACAAAAAAAGTGGGATATAATTATAGTGCCCTCAAAATCAAAGCACATAGTAAAGACCTCCCAATAGCAGAACACATTAGCAGGACCCCAAAAAACAAGAAGACACAAAAAGGGACTGCAGAGGCCCTAGAGATCCTGTCAGTTGTTGTGGTCCCAGTCATGCAGCCCCCCCCAATAACCATAATGATAACTTAGTGCCCCAATCCCAGGGCCATATGAACTCAGCTGTCACTCACCCTCAGAGCCAGCATTCTGAGCCCAGGAGCTCGCACTCACCCTCACAACCAGCATTCTGAGCCCAGGAGCGCGCACTCACCCTCACAGCCAGCACTCTGTGCCCAGGAGCTCACACTCACCCTCACAGCCAGCACTCTATACCCAGGAGCTTGCACTCACAGCCAGCATTCTGAGCCCAGGAGCTTGCATTCACCCTCACAGCCAGCACTCTGTGCCCAGGAGCTTGCACTCACCCTCACAGCCAGCACTCTATACCCAGGAGCTCGCACCCACCCTCAGAGCCAGCACTCTATGCCCAGGAGCTTGCACTCACCCTCACAGCCAGCACTCTGTGCCCAGGAGCTTGCACTCACCCTCACAGCCAGCACTCTGTGCCCAGGAGCTTGCACTCACCCTCACAGCCAGCACTCTGTGCCCAGGAGCTCGCACTCGTCCTCCAGCAGGAGCCGCCGTCACTGACCTACTTTCTGCCCTCACTAAATGTCGCACCACTAACCTACTTTCCAGCCAATCAGCAGAGCCGGCTCCCCAGGTGTCAGTGCCAGCCAATCAGAGCGCTCTCTCGCCGCACACATCCAACAGGCAACGACGCAACAGCTAGTGCCCTCCCCGCTGCGTCACGCCCACTCTCCGCCAATAGGAAACGCCGAAAACAAGAGCAAGAGGGAGGGGCGAGCAGGCAGGTTGGGGACCTCCATCCGCCATGTTGGATGTGGCTAGGCTTGTTATGTGACAGGAATGGTCTATCAGCCGCATGCTTTATGAACTCCTTTATAATAAATAAATGTTAAAAAATGGCCTTGGTGGCTTTATGGGAAATATTGCCCTGTCTGTAAACATATGGAGGCAAGAACATTTAATGTAATGAAATAAAATAATGCCCTTCTTACCAATACAATTTTGAAATTAAAATACTGTGAGACTCTTAAAAAAGTGTTGCTCAAATTAACATTTAGAATTATGAGAATAAGAGTCACCATGTGATAAATGGTTGATTACAACCAGTTATCTGCTCCTTGTACACTGTACCTTATAGGCATCTTTGGAGCTTTTAATTTGTAATCCCAATTTTGGGTGAATGGGCATAGTGTCACAGACCTCCCAAATGGCAAATTTCGACAGGACAGTTTCTATTGCAAGGTCCTGTCCCAGGCTTGTTTTCTTGGTGTTACGCTTTTTGTGGACTGGTAGGGGGTACTTGATGACTGGGTTGGGAACCGCTGCTCTAGAACCTCCTAACTAGAGTCATTCTAATGTTCAATCCTAAATATTCTATCCACCCCAACCCTTAACTTGCCGCCTGGTGGTTTGTTTTTTTCTCTTATAGCCAGAAAATGTGTCTGCCATTTGGTTACAATTCAGATAAGTTATTTTCAAACAAATATTGCGGCAGCAATGCTATCTGTGCCAGGTACCGATTCAGCTCAATGCGGTTTTGGTTCAGTTGATGAATTAAGTAAGAGAATTGAGCCGAATTAAAGTGTCTAAATTCAGCATTTAGTAAAGATATCCCAAAATGAAATATTTTGAGAAAGTCTCAATGTACAGATCCTTACAGCTGAGGACATCTAGTGGAAGCAAACTGTAAGGGGAACAACTGAAGATTATGCTAGCGCAGTGTACTAATAATCTTAATTTTAATAATGACAGGAGGTGAATATTTGCATTAACTTTCTTTACTAACTCCACAGCAGCAAAGAAAAAACAGTTGAAAGAAAGAACCAATCAGCTTGAGTCAGAGAGTATATAAGTTCCAGCCTAGCCAATCATTTCCTCTTGACTAGTGCGACATCACAAGTTCATAATATGACAAACGTGTCTTGAATCAACTAGTCCAACGTTTAAACTTCATTAGCATAGCCAAGCATAAGCTCCTCGTGGAGGCCAGTGTTTGGTGAAAGCATCTACCGCCAGGCATTCCGGGTCTGGAAGCCAGCTGTAAAACTGTGGCACTTGGTGATTGTTGCGGGAGGCAAATAGGTCCAGTGTGAAGGGCCCCATCTGTTTGTTCAGGAGGGCAAATATCCATGGGTCTAGTTGCCAATCGCTGACGTCTCTCCAGTGTCGGGAGTACCAAATCTGCCGTACGATTCGACTCCCCTGGCAGGTATTCTGCTTGTATCGTAATGCTGCGTGGGAGACAGTAATCGAAGATTTCCTTCGTCAGCTCCACCAGTGTTTGGGAGTGTGTACCGCCAAGGTGGTTGATGTATCTCACTGCCGATATGTTGTCCATCCGAAGAAGTATACAATTGGATTGTCCTTTCGCCAGACTGCGTATAGCGAATGACCCCACTAGCAGTTCCAGGCAGTTGATGTGCATTGAGAGTTCTTGGTTTGTCCATGTTCCTCCCGTGGATGCTTCCCCGTCCATGGCGCCCCATCCCAACCAGCTGGCGTCTGATTCCAGCACGAAGTCTGGGTGGGTGCCGAAGATGGCTCGGCCGTTCCAAGCTTGCATACAATTGAGCCACCATTCGAGTTCCTGACGTACCTCGCTTGTTAGCGGGACTGGTTGGTTGTACGTAGGGTTTTGTCGTAAGAAGCGGGTTTTCAATTGTTGCATGGCTCGGTAGTGCAGGGGGCCTGGAAATATGGCTTGTATCGAAGAGGACAATAGGCCAACGATCCGTGCTAGTTGTCGGAGTGGGATGGGATCGCATTTGAGGGGGTACTTGATGACTGGGTTGGGAACCCCTTCTCTAGAACCTCCTAGAGTCATTCTAATGTTCAATCCTAAAAGTTCTATCCACCCCAACCCTTAACTTGCGCCTGGTGGGGGTTTTTTCTCTTATAGCCAGAAAATTTGTCTACCATTTGGTTACAATTCAGATAAGTTATTTTCAAACAAATATTGCAGCAGTGATGCTATCTGTGCCAGGTACCGATTCAGCTCAATGCGGTTTTGGTTCAGTTGAAGAATTAAGTAAGAGAATTGAGCCGAATTAAAGTGTCTAAATTCAGCATTTAGTAAAGATATCCCAAAATGAAATATTTTGAGAAAGTCTCAATGTACAGATCCTTACAGCTGAGGACATCTAGTGGAAGCAAACTGTAAGGGGAACAATTGAAGATTATGCTAGCGCAGTGTACTAATAATCTTAATTTTAATAATGACAGGAGGCAAATATTTGCATTAACTTTCTTTACTAACTCCACAGCAGCAAAGAAAAAAAACTGTTGAAAGAAAGAACCAATCAGCTTGAGTCAGAGAGTATATAAGTTCCAGCCTAGCGCGACATCACAAGTTCATAATATGACAAACGTGTCTTGAATCAACTAGTCCAACGTGGAAACTTCATTAGCATAGCCAAACGTCTTCATGAAACATAAAACTTGTTAACTGATTCCAGTACGTTCGGTATCTTGTTAAGCTGAAAGGAGAAAGGAGACTAGTATCAGTGATATGGAACCGACCGTATGGCATGCTTATGTGAATGTTGACAATATTGACTGTTAAAACTAGTTTATCCAGACTATCTACAGTTAGTCCCTTTCACAAGTTAGGAAGAAAAACCAAAGGTAAAGAGTACCGTAAAACATCTCACGCTATATATATATATATATATATATATATATATATATATATATATACATACATACATATACACACACACACACACACACACACACACACACACACACACACACACTAGTATCAAGTTGTCCCCCTGGAATCCACTTACCTTATTAGGGTGGGAACTTCAAGATGAAGGGAATGAAAATATTCACCTCCTGTCATTATTAAAATTAAGATTATTAGTAAACTGCGCTAGCATAATCTTCAATTTTACCACATGACAGGAGGCTTCATATTTGCAATTTTAACGCTTAGGATGAAGGGCGAATGCGGCGTTGGACGACTGACGGAAATAGAATGTCCGAAATGTCGATTCGCGTGACCAGTCGGCAGAATGTCTGACAGTGATGCACCTGCCAAGAAAGAGGCTGATGCCGCCGCCGCCGCCCCCCGCACGGAGTGTGCGCCAAAGGACAAGTCTATGCCGGCTAGAGAAAAGAGCCATTTGATCTGGCTAGAGTGGTGACCGACACCGGCCCATGTGGGCTAACATATGATACCAAAAGTTGTCTTGCTGTTGGTGAACGCAATATCTCTGTGGCTGCCACATAAGCTCGTGGGGTCTTGACCACGCACAATTGAGGATCCGAGGTGAAGAATGGGTAAAACACCGATGACGAATCCGATTTGGTCCTTCCGTGAAATATGGAATGTAACTCCCTCCGGATTTATAGAAAAAGCGTCTTTATCGAACGCCCTAACATCCGATACCCTCCGGAAGGAGACCATGCACAGTAGAAAGGTGAATTTCACCGTCAGTTGTTTTAACGATAATAGTTCGTTAGGGGGCCATCCCCTTAGGAAACGGAGCACCACATTCACATCCCATAGGTGTCGATATTTTGGTGTTGGAGGTCGTCTCAGTTTCATGCCGCGTAACAGTCGACAGATCAGGGGATCTTGCCCTACCGGTCTACCTTGGGACGGTACGTAGGCTGCTGAGATGGCGGATCTGACCACGTTGATGGTGCGATACGATTTCCCTTCCCTGAATATCTTCGATAGGAAGTTCATGATATCGGATACAGGGGCTGTAAAGGGATCCAGGTTCCGCCCCATGCACCAATCGGTCCAAGAGTGCCATGCTGATAAGTAACTCTTGTGTGTTCCAGGGGCCCAGGAGTCCCATAGGAGGTCCTTAGTTGTTGCCGATAGGTTTCCTGTACACCATGCTCCCCTGAAGGATTCCAGGCTATCAGCGATAGGTGTCCGTCTAGGAGCATCAGGTGTGTCTCCCCCATTGGGTTTCTGAGTAGGTTGTAGTCGATCGGTAGTAGGATTGGATCCTGCCAAGCCAGTTCGAGCAGATCCGGAAACCAAGGTTGGCTTGGCCAGTTGGGTGTCAGGAGCGTTAATCTCAGTCCCTGTTGAACGTGATGTTGAACCCTTGCGATCATGGCGAATGGGGGAAAGGCGTAAGCTCCTTGTGGAGGCCAGTGTTGGGTGAAAGCGTCTACCGCCAGGCATTCCGGGTCTGGAAGCCAGCTGTAAAACTGTGGCACTTGGTGATTGTTGCGGGAGGCAAATAGGTCCAGTGTGAAGGGCCCCATCTGTTCGTTCAAGAGGGTAAATATTCGTGGGTCCAGTTGCCAATCGTTGACGTCTCTCCAGGGTCGGGAGTACCAATCTGCCGTACGATTCGACTCCCCTGGCAGGTATTCTGCTTGTTTCGTAATGTGTGGGAGACAGTAATCGAAGATTTCCTTCGTCAGCTCCACCAGTGTTTGGGAGCGTGCACCGCCAAGGTGGTTGATGTATCTCACTGCCGATATGTTGTCCATCCGAAGAAGTATACAACAATTGTATTGTCCTTTCACCAGACTGCGTATAGCGAATGACCCCGCTATCAGTTCCAGGCAGTTGATGTGCATTGAGAGTTCTTGGTTTGTCCATGTTCCTCTCGTGGATGCTT